CACACGAGGGTGCCGAGAGCTCTTCAGTGTCCTGATTTCCTTTGGGGGATATTCCCAGCAGTGGGATTGTGGATTGTATGGTGGCTTTGTATTTAGATTTGGGGGTAACCTCCGTGCTGCTCTCCAGAGGGCTGCACGAGTTTATATTCCCAACAACAGTGCTCCCTTTTCCCCACCTCCTCCCTCGCCAGCGTTTGTGATTGCTGTCTTTTGGGTAGAAGCCGTTTTAACTGGGGTGAGGTGATATCTCATTGTAGTTTTTATTTGCGTGTCTCTGATGATTAAAGGATATTGAGCATGTTTTCGTATACCTGTTGGCCATTTGTATGTCTTCTTTTGAGAAATGTCTGTTCAGATCTTTTGCCCATATTTTAATTGAATTACTCAGTTTTTTCCGATTAAGTCGTTTGAGAATCTATAATAATCTTAAAGATTCTGCTTATTAATCTCTTGTCAGTGGGTAGTTGGCAAATATTTTCTCCCATTGTGTGGGTTGTCTCTTCACTTCGTTGATTATTTTCTTTGCTGTGCAGTAGCTTTTTAGCCCGATGTGGTCCTGTTTGTCTATTTTTGCTTTGGTTGCCTGTGCTTTTGAGGTCTTACTCAAGAAGTCTTTGCCCAGACCAAAATGCCCTGGAGTATGCCAGCCTGTTAGGCCCGTTTCCAAATTTGATTAGTGGTTTTAGATACCAAGCAGGTGTTTCCCCTATAAGGGTGTCTTTTAATTTTTCAATCCACCCACAGATACAGTTTCAAGCAGAAAAGGGTTGAGATCTGACTCACTCCTGGGGTGTAATTCTTCAGCCAGCGCTGTGGGCTGAGACCAGACCCTGCCCCACGTCCCACTACCTGGAGGACCAACAGGTGCTGACCAGGCACCCAGCATATTGCACTGGCGCTTACCTGCAGGGTTAATTAGTAAGAGGGAAGGCTGCTTTTCCCTTAAATATGGAAACGAGTTGCCTCACTTCAGAGTGTTGCTTATAGAAAAATAGTAATTCTATACCATTCAGTTTTCTTAGTTGCTAATCTAATACGTAACATTTTGCTGTCCCTGAATTTATAAATAGTTACCTGTATGGTCTTCTTTGTTTAAATGAGATTTGTATTTCTAGATGATAAATTTGGGCTGAGGAGAAATTCCAACACTGTACATAGTCATTCGTTCTTCAGAAAGCAGGTTTTGAAGTGTGTTCAGCAGCTGGGGCTGTGGAGTAAACCAGTGGGGCTGGAGAGCCATGTGGGGAAAATGAAGGCCATGGCTGAGGTCAGACCCGGTCCCTGCTGGAAAAGGGAACCCACAGCCCCTGCGCCCCTGAACCCCTGAGCCCCTCTCCCAGGTTCTGGGAAGGAGGGACCCCAGATGCCAGAGGGCACAGGTTATTCGTGTGACGCGTTCTTTCCTCCCCAGTCTAGAGTGGGACCAGTTGGTACTATCCTTGGAAATAGAAAATGGCGCCTCGGAGCACTTCTGCTCTCTGGGATGCAGATGAAGAACTTGAGTTGAGAAAAGGTGTTTGACTCTCCCATCTCTTATACCTTTTTTGTAGAAGTGCACATTGGATTTTGTAACTGAAATGACTGCAAATTGTAGGACAGTAGTTATAATTTCCCTCTCAATACTGCTTTTCCAGAATCATTCTATTCCATATATCACAAGCTCACTTTACTTTGTAAACTTCTTAAAGTATCAGAAATTTATAAAAGGTAAATGCTGATAGATTCAGTACACATCATTTAAAACTGTGTAAATATGTGTGTTGGCCTGTTTGTCTATTTATTTCCTTAACTAGAGCCTAAAAAATGTTTGGTAAGTCACCTGAGGTCACATGATAGGGAAGGAGCGGGGGCTTTTGCACTGTGATCCTCTCAAAAGCTTGCCTGTGGGGCTGGATCAGTGGCAGTGGCACCTGGGCAACCCTGAAAAGGAGGGACAGGTGCCTGTCACCTCCACGCAGCATCGGTGACACCATCGCGATCCCTGGCTTTGCTACCGGCACTCCCCACTTGCACACAGCGTCTCCAGAGCCAGAAGAGACTTGGTGTTAGGGTGTTTTCCATAATCTCTGCACACTCCCTCCCCCACACATGGTGTTAGGGTGTCATCTCTGCACACTCCTTCCTCTCACACATGGTGTTAGGGTGTCACCTCTGCACGCTCCTTCCTCTCACACATGGTGTTAGGGTGTCACCTCTGCACACTCCTTCCCCCACACATGGTGTTAGGGTGTCATCTCTGCACACTCCCTCCCTCACATGGTGTTAGGGTGTCATCTCTGCACGCTCCTTCCTCTCACACATGGTGTTAGGGTGTCATCTCTGCACACTCCCTCCCTCACATGGTGTTAGGGTGTCATCTCTGCACGCTCCTTCCTCTCACTCATGGTGTTAGGGTGTCACCTCTGCACACTCTCTCCCTCACATGGTGTTAGGGTGTCATTGCTTCACACTTCCTTCCCCCACAGTGCCCTGCTGTGTCAAGTTCAAAGCATGAGAAAGAAAGGAAGCAGCTCTTCACCCTCAGACATTGGAAAGTCATGCTGGAGGTATTCTGTGGTCAGACGTGTGGGGAATTGCTTAGAAAATCTGATTTTAAAAAAGGTTCCTGGTCTGCCTGTGAGCGCATGTCTGGAGGGCTCCTGTGAGAAAGCGTGAGGATGGAGCCCTGGTGTCCTCTTGGTGGCCTTGCTGTGCTGACTGTCCACCACGTGCCCTCACACCTCATTTCTCAAATCCCTGCTGCAGCTCTGAGTGGTGCCTCGGCATGGCTGTTCTGTAGACGAGGACCCTGGGGTTGCAGAGGTGCAGCCATTTGCCCAGGGTTTGGTCCTAACCTGAGCAGCTGGCCACAGAGCCAGAGCTCTGGAGAACTTTGCTGTAGTCTCTCTGAGAGTGTGAACTTATCCTCACAGGAATGTTCAGAAGGCCCTGAGATTGACTTAATGTCCTGGACACTAGACAGAATTTAAAATGTTCCTGAAGTGACTTGAGTTCTCAGAACCCAAGATTTTAAAACCGTTTGTTTGCTAAGAGTGAGGTAGAGGTTAAAACTGAAGGCAAGGACATGCTCATCAGAAGAGGGGCGTGAGAATGAGGTGGTGGTTTGAGAAGAGGCCTCGCCCAGGCCGTGAGGTGCTTCAGTGCTGTTGGTGGTGGCAGGCCTGCAAAACAGAGGAGACCCCGAAGGAAGCGGTTGTGTTTCTGAGCTGTCCTGCAGTGGTGTGGGACGTTGGAGAGAGCATGCTCTCTATGGTTAGCGTGCTCTCCATGGTTACTGTGCTCTCCGTGGTTAGTGTGCTCTCCGTGGTTACTGTGCTCTCCGTGGTTAGTGTGCTCTCCGTGGTTAGCGTACTCTCCATGGTTAGTGTGCTCTCCGTGGTTAGCGTGTTCTCCGTGGTTAGCGTGCTGTCCTTGGTTAGCGTGTTCTCCGTGGTTAGCATGCTCTCCGTGGTTAGCGTGTTCTCTATGGTTAACGTGCTCTCCGTGGTTGGCGTGCTCTCCGTGGGTAGCATGCTCTCCGTGGTTAGCGTGTTCTCTATGGTTAACGTGCTCTCCGTGGTTGGCGTGCTCTCCGTGGCTCTATGGTTAACGTGCTCTCCGTGGTTGGCGTGCTCTCCGTGGGTAGCATGCTCTCCGTGGTTAGCGTGTTCTCTATGGTTAACGTGCTCTCCGCGGTTGGCGTGCTCTCCGTGGTTGGCGTGCTCTCCGTGGTTGGCGTGCTCTCCGTGGTTGGCGTGCTCTCCGTGGTTAGCATGCTCTCCGTGGTTGGCGTGCTGTCTGTGGTTAGTGTGTGCCTTTAGCTGCATAATAGGATTGGTATACCCTATTTTTCTAATTACTATCTGGTAGGGAGATTCCTTTTATAAAGACAGACTTTTATCAGAAAACAATACTTTTTGTCATAAAATACTGTTCACAAAATATTAACTCTAAAAATTGCTCTTCCACTTGTGATTGTTAAATTCTAATAAATCAGTAAATAATTACCAATAAGAATATTTATGAGTACCTGCCACATGCCAGGGAATCACTCATGTTATTTTGGCCTCAAAACAATTTGGAAGTCATTTTCCACTTGACAGAAGAGGAGCGTGTTCCCAGCAGAATGACGGCCTGGCCACAGAAGTGCCGACTTCCACACTTGGCTTAGAACCCAGGCCTGCTTTCTCCTTGTCTATTTGGTCTCCTTTAAACTGGCAAAGATTACATGTAGACACATTAATAGAGTTAATTACTCACCAGTTTATCTCTTATTTTAGAAAAATAAATACTGTAAACATGAGATTCAAACTATTTCCCCTTTCATGGAGTCCATGGAACTGGGGAGGGAGAAACCTTGAAAAGTCGGGTCACTTGCTCCCTGCCCCCAGACTGATGGGGTGAGCTGCATTCTCGATTTTAACACCATCTGGCTCTAGGGAGCAGTTAACACAAATTGTAAAGAAAGTCTTTATGATCCATCATGGTCTTTATTTTAAAGAATAATACCAGGCTGGGTGCGGTGGCTCACACCTGTAATCCCAGCACTTTGGGAGGCCGAGGTGGGCGGATCATGAGGTCAGGAGATCGAGACCATCCTGGCTAACACAGTGAAACCTCATCTCTACTAAAAATACAAAACAAATTAGCCGGGCATGGTGGCGGCACCTGTAGTCCCAGCTACTCGGGAGGCTAAGGCAGGAGAATGGCGCGAACCCGGGAGGCAGAGTTTGCAGTGAGCTGAGATCACGCCACTGCAGTCCAGCCTGGGTGACAGAGCAAGATTCCGTCTCAAAAAAAAAAGAATAATACCAAGTGACTTTGGTCATATTGCTTAGGATTACTCTAGAACAATGTTATTCAAACGTATATACTTAGCCATGAAACCAAAACGTTCTGAACACCTAAGTTTTTCTGCAGCTGTCCCATGTTGGCGAGCTTTCTGAGCACCGCCGTGCTGGCTCGCCCGCGTGCAGCTTTCCTGAGTCAGTGGTGGCCTCAGGCGTTGCTGTCTCCCATAGGTCGCTCTGGTGCAGTGGACAGAGAGTGTGGGCCTCACGCTGGTCAGCAGGGACCTCACCTCCATGCAGCTGAAGACCCCCAGCGGCCAGGTCCTCAGCTTCTGCATCCTGCAGCTGTTCCCCTTCACCTCGGAGAGCAAGCGGATGGGCATCATCGTCAGGGTGAGGCTGCGGCGAGGGTGCTGTGCGATGGCTTCGGACATTTCGTTTTCAGGCCTTTTAGACACAAATTTTCCCAAAAGAAAGTTAAATATTTACTCAAGTGCTTTATGCTGTTACAGTTTTTTTTTAAATGAAATCTAAGCTAGTAATCTATGTCTGAGAAGCCACTGTGTCTCTAGTGAGATAAAATAACTCTCCTAAGTCAACCTAGCCAGAATCAATAATGTGGAATTTATTTATTTTTTGAAATCAACAACTAAGGCTGTTTTGATTTCAACAAAAATAAGATGCCAAAGAGTTTGACTTTTGAACATTGATTTATGACCATAAAGTTGCCAAAATGTACCTTAATTTTTTTAGTAAACACCAAAATCATGTCTTGGAAGTTGACTAAACAATGAAGCATTCAATGCAACTGTAAAAGTTTAAGAGAATGGATGCAATCCAAATCATACTCATTAACACATTCAGACCTTCAGCCTAGCATCTCAGGATGCACAATCATGTTCTCAATCCTGACGGCACTAGTGCTGAAGAGCGGGACTAGCCCTCTGTGTAGAAACACGTGTGAGTAGCTTACCACACAGGAACACGTTCATAGGAATTGCTTTTCCCATTATGTGTTTTATTAGACTAGCAGTTATTTGCACCAAGCAGTGCAGCCTAAATGTGCTTCTGTTTATTCCTGTTCTGTGATAGGATGAATCCACGGCAGAAATCACATTTTACATGAAGGGTGCTGATGTGGCCATGTCTCCTATCGTGCAGTATAACGACTGGCTGGAAGAGGAGGTATGTGAATGATTCTTCACATGGTTCACAGTGTTTTTGTGAACTTTATTGAATAGATGACAGAAAAAGGATATCCTTTCCCCAGCTTGTAGACACTGGTATCATTGGATAAATTGAGCTGTCAAAATGTCAAACCAGATGCTGATGGGAACCACATAGGTTGTCAAACACAGTATCATTTATACTAAATTATTTTAAATGCTTACAGTTCTCAATTTCATAAAGGAGAAAGGACAGGAGTCCTGTCTATTTATTTATAAATAGTTTAATTTTTTTTTTTTTTTGAGACAGACACTCTCTGTCAGCCAGGCTGGAGTGCAGTGGCGTGATCTCGGCTCACTGCAACCTCCACCTTCCAGGTTCAAGCCCACCTCCTAGGTTCAAGCGATTCTCCTGCCTCAGCCTCCGAAGTAGCTGGGACTACAGGCACATGCCACCAAGCCCAGCTAATTTTTTTTTGTATTTTTTAGTAGAGACGGGGTTTCACCGTGTTAGCCAGGATGGTCTCGATCTCCTGTCCTTGTGATTCACCCGCCTTGGCCTCCCAAAATGCTGGGATTACAGGCGTGAGCCACCATGCCCAGCCAATAGTTTACTTTCTATGTGAGTAACAGTCATTTTGTTTTGTGGGTGAATGCATGTCGGTCTATACAATAGGTCCTTTCAAAGAATATTTTGTTTATAATAGTGAGAAATAGAAGGCATTATCAATCATTCATTATTCTGAAATAATACTTTATATGTAATCAAAGTTATATTTTAATGTATTTCTTTTGTAACATAAATATTTGCAAGGACATTTTCATTAGAATTTTAACCTGATGCAAATTTGTGCATAAGATTCACGTAAAATTAGAACATAAGATACAAATAAGAAGCAATTCCATATTTCATTAAATTCTCCTGAAGTAACCAGGATTTGTGGGTCGTCTCATGAGGTGATTTTGTTTATCGTTAAGCTTATGTATAAATCAGTGGTTGGATTTCCGAGGAAAACAGACTGTTGGCATTGCAGTCAACATGGCCCTTTTTGCCGTGTGCGTGTTGCTGTTGGAATTCAGAGCCTCTCCTCCCACCCTGGGACCTCAGAGATGGTCTGTCCGTGCAGCCTCCACACCCCGACGTTCACAGTGGTATTGGTAATATGAATCAGTGTCTCCTTCAGGGTTCTTTCATTTAATCAGGGACATGAATAAATTAAACTCCCTGAAGACCTAGTAAAATGCCATAAAAATTACTTTTGGTCATAATGACGTGCAATTATTGTAAAATACTTGTTTTATTTATTTAGCTTTATGAGGTCAAATCAATAAATGTCTTGCAACAGACAGATAATGTCATATGTTTTTCACAAAGATAACTTTATTAAAAATTCTATGTACATTTATTTTCTCAACACTGTATTTTCTTTCCTTGGATAAATTGTTGTCCCTTCATCAGTGTCTGTTGTGGTACTACTGTAGTATGAAAGCCTTTCCTTTTATTACAGACTAAACGAGGCAGCAGGTTCTTCGAGCGCATCGTTCCGCTTCCTTCAGGCTCCTCTAGAGCTGAATTCTTGGCTGTCAACTTGTGTTCTCCAAATGTTTAAAAAAAAAAAAAATTTCCATGATCACGTAACAGAACCAGTTTTTGCAAACCTGAGATGTAAGAATATGTAAGTCTGTGAACAGACTTAAAATAGTGATGTTCTGGATAGCTGGAGGTGTTGAGGTGATTGGCTTCCTTCCCTCTAAACACAAACTTGAGTTAGGCCCTGGACATTGTATCGTAAAGGAAACAAGCACAGGTGACCCTGAGCAACACGAGGGTCAGGGGCTCCAACCCCTGACACAGTTGAAAATCAGCCTATCACTTCAGACTCCCAAACACATAACTACTGATAGCCTCCTGTCGACCGAAGCCATACCAGTAACAGGGATAGATTGATTATCACAATGTGTATGTTACGTGAATTGCATTCTGCATTGTTACAAGAAAGTAAGTTAGAGCAAAGAAAGTGTTATTAAGAAAATCATAAGGAAGAGAAAATGTATCTACTCGTCAGTAAGTGGGAGTGGGCCACCGTAATGACCTTCTGACCTTCTTCCTCACGGTCTTCATGTTGAGGAGGCTGAGGAGGAGGAGGGGTTGGTCTTGCTCTCTCAGGAGGGCAGAGGCAGAACAGGTGGAGGAGGTGGAAGTGGAGGCAGGAGGCGCAGGCTCATTCCGCATAAGCTTTACTGAAAAAAATTTGCGTAAAAGTGGACCTGTGCTGTTCAAACCCATGTTGTTTAAGAGCCATCTGTAGCTAAAATTGGGAATGACGAGGTATAATGGATGACAGCCTTGCCTTTGTAATTCACAGTAATTGTCACCTCCTTTGTCTCCTGTAACACATGACCCTATAGAGGTCACTATTCCGATTCCTGAACAGGAGACGGGAAGAGACACAGCTGTTGGATGCATGAAGAGGGGTGCTAGACCCATACCTCTCCTCCAGCCCTTCCTGCCATCCCTGCAGCCTCCAAACCAACGTCAAATCCAATCAACTGGATGAATTAAAAAGAAATTGCAAAAAATCTGAAGAGTTCAATAATGTTTATTTGCCTACAAATTAACCTGGATCAGCAGATAGTACACTGGCTTCATTAGAGTGGGGCCTCCCATGTGGAGGGCTGCCTGTTGCCCAGGAGAGATGATGGGTGATGACAGGGTCTCTGCGCGTGACTGGGGGGTGTGATGTGCATGCGTGCACCGTGATGTGTTTCTAAGTGTACGGTGTGCCTGCAGGTTTCTCAACACTTCTCCTGGGCAGTGCTGAGAAAGGTCATGCCCAAAGCCCCAGCTCTCCGGGCCGCAACTGCCCATCTCTGGCTTTCTGTTGCTGTCTGCGGAGCTGGCCTCTCTGCTGCACGTCCACCCTGAGGGCTGGCGGAGCCTTCCTTAGTGGCACTGTCGCGTTTCCTCTCCCGACCATGCAGACTCTCAGTGTTCAGTGCAACTTTGCACAAACTAGGTTTACTAGTGTTTGATCTTCTTTTCCGTAAACAAATGTAGCTAATTAACTTCTTTAGGATATCTTTGCTTAAGTGTCTGCATTATCAACGTTCACATTTTTAATGTTTTAAGTGTACATTGAAAATAATGTTTGTGATTAGTTGTTCTCTAGCTATAATGTAGAGCTCTATTCTCCTTGGAGGTTACCAAGATAGCCTCTAGAAGACCTCTCCTCTCGCCGAGGATCATGGTGGCGGGCAGGTTTGCAGCTGCACCACCTCTGCGGGGCTCACTGTGGGCCGTAGCTGAGTTGGGAGTATCCACCTGAGCTGCAGAAAGTTCCTGGGGCTTCAGGAAGATGTGATTACCACTGATTTCTTTGTATTATCAACCCTAATGCCAGAGACTGCTAAACCTGCCAGAGATAGGAGCTTTATAAACATTGTTAAAATTTGGAAGAGTTCCTCAAATTTGAAATTTAAGAGGGAGTCAACAACAACTGGATGGAGAGTCCTAAGCAGCCAATCTTTCAGGACCTTCCAGGACACAGAGAAGCCGTGTCTACAGGGAGGGTTGCTGTTAAAGCATCTTAAAGTATGTTAGCCCTAATAATTGCTAGGCCAGGCGCGGTGGCTCACGCCTGTAATCCCAACACTTTGGGAGGTCGAGGTGGGCGGATCACGAGGTCAGGAGAACGAGACCATCCTGGCCAACATGGTGAAACCCCATCTCTACTAAAGATACAAAAAAATTAGCCAGGCGTGGTGGCGGCACCTGTAGTCCCAGCTGCTGGGGAGGCTGAGGCAGGAGAATGGCAGGAACCCGGGAGGCGGAGCTTGCAGTGAGCCGAGATCACACCACTGCACTCCAGCCTGGGAGACAGAGCAAGACTCCATCTCAAAAAAAAAAAGTAGAAACTGCTAGATTCAAAAATTGATAGTTTGGACAGTTATATAGCTTGGTGTTCATTACTTTGTTTTTTTAAATGTACTTTTCATAAAACACACCACAACTTTAAAGCTTAGGCACAGCTCACCCAGCACTTAGTAACCTACTGCAAGGTCCCTGTGTGTCCCTGGAAGAGGGCCCCACTGTCCTGAGCCCTGTCCTGGTCCACACAGCAGAGGGGGGGGTTGTCTCCTGGCAGCCCCAGCACCCCCTTAGCTGTCCGGGAGCCCAGCACCCTCCAATCCCTGCCTCTTGTCTGCACCCCCCAGACGTTGGCCCCTTGACCAGGACTGTGTGTGCTCACAGCTAAGTCGTGGACCCGCCTGGTCCCCCAGGAGACCCACCAGTGCCCTCCTGCCCACTTCTGCCCAGTTGTCCACACCGCCTTGTGCCAGGTAGGAGGCCCACTGGTGCCCTCCTGCCCACCTCTGCCGGGTCGCCCACACCGCCTTGTGCCGGGTAGGAGGCCCACTGGTGCCCTCCTGCCCACCTCTGCCAGTCGCCCACACCGCCTTGTGCCGGGTAGGAGGCCCACTGGTGCCCTCCTGCCCACCTCTGCCGGGTCGCCCACACGCCTTGTGCCGGGTAGGAGAGTGGGCTGGGTTTGTTTCTTCACCCTGCCCTGCAGGAACACGTGCTTCTTGCGTCTATTCCTGTGGCCCCGCGAGGCCTGTCCCGCTGGGTGTCCTTCACGTCACCACAACCATGTGAGGGAGGAGCTGTTTTCACTTTGCACACAAGGAAATGGCATAGAAAGCGCAGAGTTTCAGAACCGGCTTCTGCAGCTCTCCAGATTCTCTCTGCTGGCTATGTGGAAGTGCAGGGTGTAGCCATTGACTATGAGCATTCTCGTCCAAGCCTTTTAAAACCTGACCCTTGTTCATGTAAAAGCAACATGGCACCTGTCAACCTCTTGTGGACATCAGGGTCTACTTTTTAAGTACAGGTTGAACTTCCAGGACTGGGATGTGTGTCACTGGTATGAGCAGTTTAACTTTGAGAGTGTTACCTCCGCACAGGTTTGCTCCTGCACCACCCCTCTGGGAAGGGTTTGCACCTTGTCCCAGAGAGCCTGTTTCTTCGCCCCATTACCAGCTAAAACTGCTGCACTTTTACCTCGATTTGGAAAGTCGTATTTTTTTATTTTGACGCCTTCCCTGACCATGAACACGGTTAGCCCTGTTTCATGTGCCCATTGCAAGCATTTCCATGTCTTGCTTCAACACGCACATCAGGCCCCATGACTCCTGCAGGGTTCCCCCCTGCTCTGGAAGCCGGAATGCAGGGTGAGGCTCATGAGCTTTGGGATCTGGCCGTGTCCCCACCAACCCCAGCTCTCACTGCGGCCCTGCACTCCTGCCCTCCCCTCCATCAATGACTGCACTTACTGCATGTGATCGGCTGCCGTGCGAGGCCAGTTAAATGCATGTTTAAAATAGAGCAACAAGAACTTACACAGATTCACAGGGTTAGTCCCAGAGCAACACTCTTATGAGCCCATTTCTATTAAAGAGGAAACAAGCACAGAAAAATTAGGTCATTTGCCCAAAAACACAGAGTCTGTGGTAGAAACAGTTTTCAGGCCCAGCCATCTGGTTTTAAATCCGTGGTATTACAACATGCCAGGGGGGTGCACCTCTCCCCCAGTGCACACCAGGAGCCCTCCCTGGCACCAGGTGCTCCCCTCGCCCCGTCCCCAGCACTGCCACGTGCACCCTCCGTGTGTTCTTGTTACGTGCAGTCTGGTGTCCACACTCTGGAGTGGTGGTGTTTACGGATTCAGAGTATGTTCTTTTGAAAAGCCCGTGCTGTGGTAAAAGGAAGCTCCGCTAGGCACCAGGGGAGTCCAGGCGGAGGCGCCCCAACTCCATCCGGTGTCTTTGCCTCTCGAGTGAAGGGGTTAGTAGGATTCGAGATACCAGACAGGTCGGGAGGTTAAAAGGATGCATTGTATATAAAGGCATCCGTCTGCGAGTCGTCTCTGGTCTTGATGATGAAGGTGAGCACAGGACATGAGGGCAGGGCACCAACAGTCAGTGTGGTGCTACCCTGGCCCCACTCACGGCTGCAGGGGCTCTGTGGGGCCCACCTGTGACTCGGCCTCTCCTTTTCCAGTGCGGAAACATGGCTCGCGAAGGACTGCGGACCCTCGTGGTTGCAAAGAAGGCGTTGACAGAGGAGCAGTACCAGGACTTTGAGGTGAGCTGACTCCCAGCCATCTCATCCTCCTACAACGTTTCCTTCCTTCTGCTGAAATTAGCTCTTCCTGTCTTTGTATGAAATTAGAGCTGGGACTGCTGTAGTCTAGGAGTGAAGGCAGCTTCACTCAGCAGGAGCATGGGGTGATCCTCTCTGCATTTCTGTTTCCACCACTTCTCCAGCCTGCTGGGAAAGGAGTGTCACAGAAGCAAAGAAGTGCCAGTTTCCTTAGAATTGTGCTTGATAACTCCTAAGTGGTCACAGTCCAGTCGAGTTGAGTACACATAGAGGATGTGCACACAGGCGCCTCCCCCACTGTCCCCAGAGCTCGTGCAGTCCAGCTCTGTGGAGTACACACGTGGAGCACATACACACGTGTGCACACAGCCGCCTCCCTCTCTGTCCCCAGAGCCGATACACTCAGGCCAAGCTGAGCATGCACGACAGGTCCCTCAAGGTGGCCGCGGTAGTTGAGAGCCTGGAGAGGGAGATGGAACTGCTGTGCCTCACCGGCGTGGAGGACCAGCTGCAGGCGGACGTGCGGCCCACGCTGGAGATGCTGCGCAACGCCGGGATCAAGGTACCGCAGGCTCACCTCTGCTGGTGCGTGCTGCTTGTGCTGAAGCAAACTGCTTTTCCTTGGGCACGCTGATTTGTGAAACTCCTGTGGGGTCGTGGTTGTGAGCGAGCTCTGTAAGCAAAGCTGCCCACGAGCTCCCCTCCTTCCTTAGGGACGTCTGCGCACACAAGTCCCCATGCCGTCCCTGCCCCAGACCTTCCTCTCCACACCTGTTCCCTCTCTGGATACCCTGGCCTTTTTGAAGAGGAGCCCTGGTCCGAGCCCTGGTCCCAGCCCTGGCGATGTCAAACTCTCACATGCCATTTCCCAGGGATGGTTATGTACCCCCCGACAGGACGCATGGGGCCAGTGCCCATCGCCCTGGCCACTGCCGGCCAGGCGTCTGCAGCCATTCCTGGGTTGGCTGGCACTCATGCCCTTGCCCCCAGCCTGTCACAACCCTGCACCTGGCAAGGCTGGGCCACTGCGTTCTCTGTGTAACGTGGCCTCCTCCTGCAGGGGCCTGTGTGCCTCCCCTGTGAGCACTCACAGCTCCGGGTACGTCCAGTGTGACAGCACGTGTTCTGTGAGGATGGGAGTGCGTGAGAACTCAGGCCTCGTGGGCTTTGGCTTCATTCTTGGTTAAATTGTGCCACATTTGGAATCATCTCGTGCTTCAGGGCATATTAGAGTTGAGAATATAGAATATTCAGACATGCACTACATCCATTTTATTGATGTTTTTGAAGAAATAATGCATCCACATTGTCACAAACTCAGAAAGCACAAAAGGACACCCCGTGGAAGCCGCTTCTCACTGCTGGGCTCAGCGGCAAGAGCCTGCCCCAGAGATGGCTGGACGTGCAGGGCAGGTGCAAAGCTGCTTGTCCTCCCTCTGGCTCTTCGTTCTTTCCCAGCACCTTCTCCGTAGCTGGAGGACACCCCCTTCACCTCGGCTGTGTGGCTCATGCCCCCACGGCCACACCATGCTCCCAGCAGCAGTGTCCCATCTCCAACAGGCAGTGCCCACCTTCCCCGTGCTCCCCAAGGCAGTGCCGCGTCTCATCCAGCTGTGTGGTCCTTGGCAGTTTAAATATGGTGTCTGCGAAATGTGAGTGTTTCCCTTGGATGGGAGAGGTTAGGCATCCTGGCCATGCTTCTTGGTGGCTTCCCCAGATGCTGTGTGGCGGGGCCCATGCTCCCTGCCTGCCGACCTGCTCTCTGGCTCTTTCACTTACTGATGTGTCCTCTTCCTACACAGGGGAAATTAGCACCTGTGGTGTAAGTTTTATTTTTCAGGAGCTTTCCTCACATGTTCTCATTGAAGCCAAAAGGTCAACTGCAGATTGGTTAAGATAATTTATTTTAGCATTACCTCAAGGACCTGGGGCTCAGAATGGAAAAAAGTGTAACTTAGTTTTCAGAGAAAAGCTGTATATCTAGACTAGAGGGACGGAACTGAAGGACAGTGTCAGAAGTCAAAGCTTTGCCAACTTCAGATAAAAAATACATCCCTCAAGCTTCGATGAAGATGCTGTGCCATGGACAGAAAATGGGCAACTGTTTTCCTTGCTGTCTAGAGGTCTGCATGGTGAAGAGACTTGTAAGATTTAATGTCCGTCTGAGATCGCAGTAGGAAGTGTGTCAGGAGGCTGTATCATATCCATCTGAGATCACAGTAGGAAGTGTATCATGATCACAGTAGGAAGCATGTCATGATCGCAGTAGGAAGTATGTCATGATCACAGTAGGAAGTGTGTCATGATCGCAGTAGGAAGTGTGTCATGATCGCAGTAGGAAGTGTGTCATGATCGCAGTAGGAAGTGTGTCGGGAGGCTGTTCATATCCGACTGAGATCGCAGTAGGAAGTGTGTCACGATCGCGGTAGGAAGTGTGTCATGATCGCAGTAGGAAGTGTGGCATGATCTCAGTAGGGTGTCATGATCGCAGTAGGAAGTGTGTCATGAGGCTGTATCATAGAGATCGCAGTAGGAAGTGTATCATGATCGCAGTAGGAAGTGTATCATGATCGCAGTAGGAAGTATGTCATGATCACAGTAGGAAGTGTGTCATGAGGCTGTATCATATCCATCTGAGATCGCAGTAGGAAGTGTATCATGATCGCAGTAGGAAGTATATCATGATCTCAGTAGGAAGTGTGTCATGATCGCAGTAGGAAGTGTGTCATCAGGCTGTATCATACCCGTCTGAGATCGCAGTAGGAAGTGTATCATGATCGCAGTAGGAAGTATGTCATGATCTCAGTAGGAAGTGTGTCATGATCGCAGTAGGAAGTGTGTCGGGAGGCTGTTCATATCCGACTGAGATCGCAGTAGGAAGTGTGTCACGATCGCGGTAGGAAGTGTGTCATGATCGCAGTAGGAAGTGTGGCATGATCTCAGTAGGGTGTCATGATCGCAGTAGGAAGTGTGTCATGAGGCTGTATCATAGAGATCGCAGTAGGAAGTGTATCATGATCGCAGTAGGAAGTATGTCATGATCTCAGTAGGAAGTATGTCATGATCGCAGTAGGAAGTGTGTCATGAGGCTGTATCATATCCGTCTGAGATTGCAGTAGGAAGTGTATCATGATCACAGTAGGAAGTGTGTCATGATCTCAGTAGGAAGTGTGTCATGATCGCAGTAGGAAGTATGTCATCATCGCAGTAGGAAGTATGTCATGAAGCTGTATCTGGTTTCAGAGTAATTGTTCATGTAGAAATTCAAAATGACAAGAGAACAATTCTGACTCAGAAAGTTTAGATTACTAAACTTAATTGTATTGTATAGCCAAAAAGTTGAATAAAGAAGTGTGATTAGCAGATGAGCTGGATGTGGTACTGTGTGCCTGGGATCCCAGCTACTCGGGAGACTGAGGCAGGAGGTTCAGTCGAGCCCCAGAGTTCATGGCAAGACCCATCTGTAAATCGACACATGAATGAGTGACCAGATGACCCCTGCATTTCACTGTAACTTTTTAGTAAACTTCACCTCAGTCTACTTCTTACTTTATATGTGCTAGACTATTAGTATATTAAAGTAGTGAATATCCCTTGTATTAAAATTTGGATCTTTACATCAATTATTTGCTAAATTGTATGACTTTGTCGAGTTTTGCTCTTTATTCTGTACATTATGTAAAGTCTGACTTCAGATGTTCCTCTGAAACTCGAAGGTGATTTTCAGCGGGACCTCACTGCATTTCCTGAATCCCACTCAGGTTGCCGCAGTGCTAGTTCTTCTTCAACTTTGTCACAATTATGTGTCATAATCTTAGGTCCAATAAATGAATATAAGTCTGTAAAATAAATACAAAGCACAAATCTTAGACATTGAGAGAGCCACAGGTGGAGCGTGCTTAAGCAGATAATCGGTACACTGTTGAAGCTGTTTTTCTGCTTCCTGTTTCCAAAAATGCATATTTCAATATAATACATACGAAATCTGAGAAATTCAGCTAATGAGAATATTACTGGAATTTCTTTGCTGTTATATATATCAAATATCCTGCTATTAAGTATCCTGATATTTTATTGTCTAGGGATACATAGACACATAAGATGTGCGTGGGTATGCAATTTTTAAATGTAAAAGTGCTGCTATTTAACATGTTTTATGTGACAGAAACAACTTTTGGCTTGACTATGGGCCAGTTACCCATTGAACCTCCGTGTCCAACTTAAAAACTAGCAAACTGGCCGGGCGCGGTGGCTCAAGCCTGTAATCCCAGCACTTTGGGAGGCCGAGGCGGGCGGATCACGAGGTCAGGAGATCGAGACCGTCCTGGCGAATACGGTGAAACCCCGTCTCTACTAAAAAATACAAAAAACTAGCCAGGCGAGGTGGCGGGCGACTGTGGTCCCAGCTACTCGGGAGGCTGAGGCAGGAGAATGGCGTGAACCCGGGAGGCGGAGCTTGCAGTGAGCCGAGATCGCGCCACTGCACTCCAGCCCGGGCGACAAAAAAAAAAAAAAAAAAACTAGCAAACTGCCTCCCAGCCTGGCAAACTGTGACTGTGTGCTTGATGTGGAATGCTGTGTGGACAGCAGCTTTGACACTCACAGCTGTCCTTATTAGACTTAGCCTGCGAGTGCCGGGCCCAGGTGTTACTCGCGTGCCTCCAGATCTCAGCTGCTGTATCTACACATCACTGTGCTCTCACTTGTTCCACCTTAAGCAAGTTCACACACCGTTTAGTTGTGGTTGGATGTGTGTAGTGTGACCTTGTTGAAGTCTGCGTTGCCGATTCTTGTGCAGCCAACACCACCATCCCCTCCAGAACTGTTCCATCTTCCTAAACGGGAACTGCCCCTCTCCCCATTCCCCTTCCCCTAGACCCGGGCACCCACCATCTACTTCTTTCTCTATGGATTGGATGGCTCTAGGGACCTCATGGAAATGGGATCAGACAGTGTTTGTCCTTTTGTGACTGGCTTCTTTCACTCAGCATAATGTCCTCAAGGTTGAACCACATCGCAGCCTGGGTCAGAATTTCCATCCTTTTCAAGGCTGAATAACACTCCGTTGTGTGGATGGAGCACATTTTGCTCATCCATTTATCTGTTGACGGGCACCTGGGCAGAATTTCCATCCTTTTCAAGGCTGAATAACACTCCGTTGTGTGGATGGAGCACATTTTGCTCGTCCATTTACCTGTTGACGGGCACCTGGCTTGCTTGCACCTTCTGGCTGTTGTGAATTATGTGAGACTCAGAGATGAGCGTATCCTTGTCTTGTTGAAGTTCACCAGTTTAAATTGCTTCGTAGATATGGATGCTAACAGGCGATAAACTCGAGACAGCTACTTGCATTGCCAAAAGTTCACATCTGGTGTCTAGAACACAAGACATTCATATTTTCAGACAGGTAAGTATGTATCTTAATCACTTTGAATTTTTAAACATTTATCTCACACAAATAAAGCCTATTGTTTTTCTCAGAATATATGTTCAGTTATTTACTAATCACTAAATATCTTTTTAAAAAGAAATACTGTAATTTTTTTAATTTATAAAAACATGTTCAAATAGATATTTTTAACCACATACATTAATAATGATCAAAAGCTGCTTTTTGACAGATTGAACAAACTCTAAGTTCAAAAGTATTTTTTGGTTATACTATTAGTATTATTTTTTACTATTTTAAAAGAGGCATACTGCAGTTATTTTCAATTTGTAAAAATGTATATTGATAAAAAATTACATTTTTCTACAAGTTACACATATTACATGTTGTCCGAAGCTGCTGTTGTGAAACAAGCTATAAATACAAAATAGGAATGTGTTTTTAATCACTGCCATTTTCAGAGCAAGTGCTGCCTTAATTAGTTCAAAGAAAATTGATAGAAATGATCTAAGTTTATGTGTTTACTGTATGTATTAGTTATGACTAAATTTAATTCAAACAAAAAATAAAAATTTCTTGTTCTTGATTGATGGTGGGTGAACAGACATTCTGTGTCTGCGTTGTTCTAAATGAATCGCTTGCACCTACAGAAGGAGTTATTTGCATATAATTTACATGTAAATGTAGTTTGTTTTGAAGCATCAGAATCGCAAATTAGGCCCTGAAGACTACTATTTGCAATTAAATTATTAATGCTTCTGATAAAACTTCAGATCAATTTTTGTTGACTTTTCAGTGTTATAGCACCACAAATTAAATTTTTCACAATAAAACCTACCTATTTAAAGATGAGTCTGAGATTGTTAATTTGAACCACATAAAGCTTTTAATTTATTTCGGTCCTATTAATAGGACTATTAATATATCATTTATTTTATGCTCCATAAAATCTCCACAGAAAGAATATGAAAAACCAGTTACGTTGGTTTCTGAAATGTTTTTGTTCTAAAACGAAGGATATTTCAAGATTATGAGTTAATTTTACTCTTTTAGGTTTTTTAAAAATCCCTCAGACACTGAGTAAAACCTAATGGAGTAAGTTGAAACCCATGGCAGAGACAACACGAGCAATTAAGTATTTTGCATTATTTGGCCTATTATGAAAAGAGATGTATTTACATAACACCTTGGTTTGAGAGCGTCCTGCCTCTTACCCGATGTGTGGCGATGATGTGCGGCGATGAGGAGCTCGGCCTCCCTGGGCTCTGGTGCCCTGTTGGGTGGAAGCGTCGTTCTGCAGAGTCATGTCCGTGATGCTGCCAGTCAGTGACTCAGCAGTGCTGCTCCCCACACCAGCCTACCCTGGCCTGTTGCTCTGATAAATAATCACCTCGTGGAAATTACAAGAAAATTCTTAATCATTATCGTTGTATGTTAAGGGAGTATATTTATAAAAGGCAATTACTTTCCCAAACTATCCAGAGGGTAATTATTAACTCACAGGCACCCTTTACGTAAATTTCATCATCAGCGTGGGGATTCCACTGCATTCCTCACTGTAAGTTTCCTGCTTGCAGTTGCCACAAATGTGAAAATGATTTGTGTTAACTGAGTGGTAGACACACCCAGCACTGCCGGAGGAATTGGAAAGGACCTTCTTCTGTGTCCAAATCCTAAAGCTACTTTAGTTTCAGATGATAACCCCAAAACAGTCCACCGTGACTCTGCAACTAATGCCCTGTTTCTCTGTGCCTCTAACTTAGACAACATTTTAATTTGGGATTCTTTTTTCTCCCTTAATGGAGGTAACCAATCGGGGAGAGGCACATTTGGAGCTGAATGCATTTCGAAGGAAGCATGATTGTGCACTGGTCATATCTGGGGATTCTCTGGAGGTAAGGCTAGACCCTGAGTGAGTACATGTGTGTCTGTCTGTGTCTCTGAGGCAAGGCTGGCCCCTGGCCGAGCGTGTCCGTCCATCCCAGTGCACCAAGGGCTTGTTGAGTCGAGTGCTTTTGCCTGTCTGTGCTGTTTCGGCAGTCTCCGTTCTGTAGCCACCGCACCTGCCACTCTGGAAAGCAGCCCCAGCCTGAGGAGATGTCAGAGCTGGATCTCAGCGGTTATCACTCCTCCTTTACACATTGAGAGTCTGAAAGCAGGGCTGGGTCACGGTGATTGTTACTCCTCCGTTAGACATTGAGAGCCTGAAAGTGCTGCAGGAGACCTGGAGCAGGAGCGACAGGAGCCTGTCCAGCGCTGTGGTTCTGGCTCTCTGTCCTGTCCACGTTGCATCCGCTGGAGCAGGAGTGTCCAAAGTAGCTTCATGCCTCGTTTTCCTCGCACGCGTGGCCCCCGGCTGAGAGAGCTGTGGCACCGGGGCTGGTGGGAGCCTCCCCCTGCACAGCTTTTGCACAGGCTCATGGACTTAATCGTCCTGGACCTCTGTGTTACTAGTGTCCCCAGAGCAAGCACTCCAAGAAATCTGGCAGAAGCTGCCCCAGAACGTCACTGGGTCACATGAAGTTGTTCAAGAAAGTCACTAAGGCAGCCTGGATTCCAGGGGAGGGGGATCAGACCAGAAGGTCATGTCGTAGCTCAAATCACAGAGGATTCTCTCTGGTACTTCAAGTGGAAGAACTTCCCTGGGCAGGAGGATGGTTCCGTGTTATATAGAATTTCTTCCCATGATTTTTATATTTGCCCCTGTCCGTGAGTCTTGTGAAATGATTCACAGAATACTGAAAAGATTGAGAACGGTGGCATCTGTTGGCTTTGCTCCCGTGGTTTTGCACTTTCTGCATCACACAAATCTGGGACAGTGTTGTTGACCATAAGGCGAAATAACACAGGCTTTGTTGTCCAGGTTTGTCTGAAGTACTACGAGCATGAATTCGTGGAGCTGGCCTGCCAGTGCCCCGCCGTGGTGTGCTGCCGCTGCTCGCCCACTCAGAAGGCCCACATCGTGACACTGCTGCAGCAGCACACGGGGAGACGCACCTGCGCCATCGGTGAGAGCCGCCCACCCCGCTCACGGGGAGGTCTCCAGAGAAACCCGCAGGCTGACATTGATGGGCAGAGTTTGTTCCATCTCTAAAACTAGACTGATTTCGTCTCTATTCATGGAAGTTTCTGAAATAGCTGCTGATGGTAACAAATGAAAAATGTGATGATGGATGGGGTTTTATTTTATCTCACTTTTCTTGCTTTGCAGGTGATGGAGGAAATGATGTCAGCATGATTCAGGCAGCAGACTGTGGGATTGGGATTGAGGGAAAGGTAGGTTCCCCCTTTTATCAACACAGCAGCACACACTCAGCACATGCTGGGCCATTGTACACTCAGCACCTACTCAGTGCACGTCAGCACGTGCTTAGCACACACTCGGTCAGCACACACTCCGCACGTGCTCAGCACACAGCACACATCAGCACACGCTCAGTCAGCACACACTCAGCACGTGCTCGGTCAACACACATCAGCATGTTCTCAGCACACAGCACAGGCTCGGCACACAGCACACATCAACACGACTCAGCACATGCTGGGCCATTGTACACTCAGCACCTACTCAGTGCACGTCAGCACATGCTTAGCACACACTCGGTCAGCACACATCAGCACGTGCTTAGCACACAGCACACATCAGCACATGCTCAGCACATAGCACACATCAGCACACGCTCAGTCAGCACACACTCAGCACGTGCTCGGTCAACACACATCAGCACGTGCTCAGCACACAGCACACGCTCGGCACACAGCACACATCAACACGACTCAGCACATGCTGGGCCATTGTACACTCAGCACCTACTCAGTGCACGTCAGCATGTGCTTAGCACACACTCGGTCAGCACACATCAGCACGTGCTCAGTGCACAGTCAGCACACACTCGGCACACACTTGATCAACACGTGCTCAGCGCACACTCAGCACACTCGTTTAGCACACCACATACGCTCGGCACACACTAGGTCAGCACACGTCAGCACATGCTCAGCGCATACCTGGTCATTTTACACCCAACACATACTCATCACACGCTTGGTCAGAACACATGCTTGGTGAATGCACACTTGGTCAACACGTGTGTTCAGCACACAGTCAGTCAGCACAGCCTGAAGAGCCTGGTGTGTCCCAGGCACTGAACTGTACATTTGAGTAAAGGAGGAATTGGTCAGAGTCCCCTGCTTCAACCCCACATTTCATAAAGACGATCCTGCCACATGCATTAGAGCCCAGCCCTCGGCAACTTGCTGTTGGCGGAGTGGCATGCAGGGAGGTGTCACTCCTAGTCACCTGCCCTCGGACTCAGTCCAGATGTCAGCAGATCGGCCAGCAAGCCTTTCCGTGGCCTCCCTCCTGTTCCCACACACCATTCTCTGTGTGGTTGCCTGTGTCTCCTGGCTGAGCTGTGGTTTGAGGTTCATCTTCTGTGCCAGCCTTATCTGTGTTACGCTCTATCCACAGTCACTTAAATGTTAATACAGACACACCCAAAAAGACCTGGAAAATTCACCCAGCTCAAGCAAGTGTGGCTTTTTCCTTGGCTACTTCCTTTCGTAATGCCTTACAACAGAATTGTGAAAGAGGAGATAGATTATTTCTTTAAATACGAAAAACGGAGAACTGCCTTGAAGAAGCCCAAGATGATAAGGGTGTCCTCCCACAGGGCTGGCCCGTGCTCAGATCACAGGGGCGTCTTCCGACAGGGCTGGCCCACGCTCAGATCACAAGGGAGTGCTTCGACAGGGCTGGCCTGGGCTCTGCGACTCTGCTGACTCCTGTGACACCCACAGACTGTCGGAGCCGAGCTCTCCTGAAGCGCTTGTGAGAGCCTGGGCTGGTGCTGGGGGCTCTTCCGGCCCCTGTGCCTAAGACCCCAGGACCTGCCCCCATTGACATAGCTGAAGCTCTAAAAGTCCTGCAGAGAGAACTTCAGTCTTTGTCAAATGTAGGCTGAGTTCTAAAACTCAGCTTTTGGAGTCTGATTTCCAGTGTCCGCAGTGTTTGAAAGGCCCCGTGTGCTTTTCTTTCAGGAGGGGAAGCAGGCCTCGCTGGCGGCCGACTTCTCCATCAGGCAGTTCCGGCACATTGGCAGGCTGCTCATGGTGCACGGACGGAACAGCTACAAGAGGTCAGCGGCACTCGGCCAGTTCGTCATGCACAGGGGCCTTATCATCTCCACCATGCAGGTACTGAGCCTTCTGTGCTGGCACCGGGGAGGGCAGCGTCCGGGAGAGGGGGTGCTGAGTGCTGCTGGAAGTACCTGGGCTGTGCCTAGGAGGTAGCGAGGCCCCTGAGAGGCCTGGGGCCACAGGTGCTCGTGGAACTGACGGTTGTCTTCGTCTGTGGCTCTCTCTCCAGGCTGTGTTTTCCTCAGTCTTCTACTTCGCATCCGTCCCTTTGTATCAGGGCTTCCTCATGGTGGGGTAAGTTACACTCAGCACCTGCCAGCTCATCCAGGGGAGGACATCTGTTTTGGAAAAAAACAAAACAAAACATATATAGAAGATTCTTGATACAGTCATCATTTAGAATGAATAATACTGATGTAAAAACAACATTTTACTTGGGTGAACTTCAAGACAACACCTGCACACTTGTTCCTCCTGGGATTTTCTTACTAGATTGTGTTTTCAGGTGGAAGCCATAGTTTGTGTCAGGAACTGTGTTGGATCTGAGATTTTTAAAGGGTCCCGTGGCAGAAGGCGGAGGGACAGAGTGGCCACTGACAAGCTCTCCCGGCTCTCTGCAGCTGCCCTCCCCTGGCTGGGGCTTCGTCCTGCTGTGGGGCCTGGCCAGCAGCGGAGAACAGTGCGCGCGGGGATATAGCGTGGCGTGCGTCGAAGCAAACACCGTCAGTCTCTCCCGGGCAGGAATGAAATCTCATTTTCAAAGATAACAGCACCAGGGCTGTGCGTGGTGGCTCACGCCTGTAATCCCAGTGCTTTGGGAGGTTGAGGTGGGCGTGGGTGGATCACCTGAGGTCAGGAGTTCAAGACCAGCCTAACATGGCGAAACCCTGTGTCTACTTAAAATACAAAAAAATTAGCCAGGCGTGGTGGTGTGTGCCTGTAATCCTCGCTACTCGGGAGGCTGAGGCACAAGAATCACTTGAACCTGTGAGGTGGAGGTTGCAGTGAGCTGAGATCATGCCATTGCACTCCAGCTTGGGCAACAAAGCCAGACTCCATCTCAAAAAAAAAAAAGTAAAGATAACAGCCCCAGTGTCTTAGAAAAGGACACCAAAAGTGCAGCAGGCATGCGACCTGCATTGAAAGCTAAGCTGATTTTGCCGACCACACCTACCTTATCTGCAAAACAGGAACTTCCTGTGAAGGGTGAATAGGTGGGAATTTCTCTTTTCCTCCTCCTTTGTGGTTATGCCTAGAAATGAAATCAGTGTGACTGTTCACGTTGGCAGCAAACTAAAAGCGGCCTCTCCTCTGCCGCTGACCTCCCTGACCCCTGCAAAGCTTATTCCCACCTTAACCAGGTTCTACCCCACAAGGAGTCTCAGAAAGTACTTTAATAGTAACAGCTGCTGGCCTCAGTGCTCTCGGCATTGAACATGCTTTCATCCCCACCTTGTCCCCACTTCATGTGTGAGAAAAGTGAGAGACCCAGAGAGCTCAGGAACTCGCCCGTGGGAGGCCCAGCTCAGACCTGAGTCGTCAGGGGCTGCCGCCGGGTGCTCCTCCTCCCCGTCACGCAGCCACCGAGCTTACCCCAGGTCCACAGAGAAAACAGAGTCCTTTCTCCCTGCAGAGCTGTTTCTAATCTGCAGTCTAAACACCATTTCACTCGACAGCTCCCTGAATCCCAGGAATTCCTCACAATTTTAGCAAAATACAGGGAAATACCAGTCTGTGCGTGTATTAGGTTTTTGATAAACATGTGAGGTTCTCTTAAGTCACCTTCTTCCCAAGTCACAATCCCTGAGAGGCGCCCGCATCATCCTGAGCTGTCCAAGGAGCATTGCCATGCACAGAGACGCACTGGGTCTCCGCCTTCCTTCCCTCTCCAGTCTTCAGGTCCTCTCTGTCCTCTGGCCTCCACACATGATGTCCCCTTGGCCTAGACCACTGCCAGATGTCCCCATTGTCCTTGCTTCCCCGGGAGGCCCGACCCCCCACGGTGCATCTTCACACCGCCATTGTCCTTGCTTCCCCTGGAAGCCCCGGCCTCCCCACGCTGCACCTTCACACCCCCATTGTCCTTGCTTCCCCTGGAGGCCCCGGCCTCCACCGCTGCACCTTCACACCCCCATTGTCCTTGCTTCCCCTGGAGGCCCCGGCCTCCCCACGCTGCACCTTCACACCCCCATTGTCCTTGCTTCCCCTGGAGGCCTGGCCCCCCCCACGCTGCACCTTCACACCCCCGGCCACACAGTTGTATTTCCAGTTAGCGTCCTATTCTGCATGCTCTGCAAGGACAAATCACAACGTATATCAGGTTCTCATACCTGCTGTGGGTTTGTCAGCGTGAACTTCAGTGTGTGTGAATTTCAGAGGAGGGCCAGACTCTGGCGGATTCTAGGCCCCACACCCCAAGCCTCAGGACAGCTGAGATGTGGGACTCACAGCTACCAAGACTCCTGGGGCACCTGCCTCGGACTCCACGTCCTTCGCCTGCACGTGTTAGCACCGTTCCTCCCAGGGTATCAGGAGCCTGTCCTGTGGTCTTAAAAATCACTTTGAATAAAGTAGGTAAGAGCCTGGGGAAACCTTCGCATGTGTCTTCAGGCTTCTCTCACCCCTAGCCCTTCATCTTGGCACAAGTGCCTAGGTTTTAGACCCCTGCCTGCTGTAATCACACAGGGAGTAACCCCGTTGATCATGATTGTAAGCATTGCAGACTCCCGTTTTGTGGCCCACAAGGAAAGTGCCATCATCGGCCCTGGGCTATCCTGTCCACTGAGGCTCCCTCAGCCCCAGTATGAGGTAGCACAGGATGACACTGTGCATCCATGGTGTCGCTTGAGCCTTATTTCATGTCTCTCTGTGACCAAAGAATGTCCCAGCAACCTACCAACTCATAGCCCATACAGTTGATGGAAATCGTGGTAGGGTTTGTGCTAATATTCTCAGCTTCCCATGAATTTCAATAATGTTTTCTGTAGTACTTCAAACAAAGGGGAAAAATCCTAAAGGTGCAGTAAGTGCTAACTCTTTTTAAATAGGTTTTCCCATCGCCTACATCTTTACAGTGATTATTACGTTCGTGACTTTTTTTTTTTTTTTTTTTTGATCCAGAGTCTTGCTCTGTCGCCCAGGCTGGAGTGCAGTGGCGTGATCTCAGCTCGCTGCAACCTCTGCCTCCTGGGTTCAAGTGATTCTCCTGCCTCAGCCTCCCTAGTAGCTGGGATTACAGGTATGTGCTACCACGCCCGGCTAATTTTTGTATATTTTTAGTAGAGACGGGGTTTCACATGTTGGCCAGGGTAGTCTCGAACTCCTGACCTCAAATGATCCACCTGCCTCAGCCTCCCAAGGTGTTGGGATTACAGGCATGAGCCCTTTCACCCAGCTTAGTTGCTTTTAAATAGTATCGAATTTGCACAGTAATGCTGATTGCATCTTGAGTTTGAATAGTGTGCTTCTTCCTTGGAAGTCATAGAAAAGCATAACCATTCTCACCTTCTTTCGTATTTTAAAAATCATGGATTTGAAACATTGAAAGGAAAATGTAGGGGACCATGGAGATTATTCTTTAAAGAACTACTGCTTGGGTTAGCGAGGCCTGGATGCCTGCCTCACAGCCCGAGTGCTCCACGGCGTCCCCAGCTCCTGTTCCTACAGCTCTTCTTTATAGTGGGCTTTATGTAAAGTCACTCTGAGTGTCCGTCACGCAAGAAGTGTCTGTGACTTTCTTAAGCACTCATACTCTGAATTTGGTTAGGTGGGAGCTTTGGAGGGGCAATGCTTTTAGTTAATCTTTGAAGATAAATAATGAGTTTGCCTTCACCTAAGAAATAAATACCAAGAAGTGAGCAAAAAGCAACATGGTGTTTTTACAAAATAACATCTAACTAGACCAAAATCATGGCTATGATAGAGAAACTGGCTCTAAAAGCTAGAGGACAGTTGACAGAATTTAATTCCACAAATATGGTTTTCATCTGCGTTCATTTCATCAGCTCTGGAGGGAACTGGTGGCCGAGGTGACTTTCCTGAAGCAAGAGGCCCCAGGAGCAGGAAGGACTAGGCATACTCAGTGCACAGCAGGGAAACCAGGGAGGGACCAGGGACCCTGGGGGCCACGAAGGTGGTGATGGGGAACCCTAGGGGCATGGGGAATGGGGCAGCAGGAGGGGCTGGGAGAGACAGGACAGCCTGGGGAGGCTCCTGTGATCCCCAAGCCCACCCTGCCCTTACTCCCCAAGCAGGCCTAGGGAATGCCATGCCCTCCGCCAGAAAGAGAGCTCCTAGGCCAAGTCCTCATGGGGAACCTCTGTGGGGTGCAGCATTGTGCACTTTGGCAAGCTGGAGGCTCTGAGAGAGACTCCTGATCTCATGAGCCCACAACTCATGTTCCACGGAAATGCTTTGGGAAACGCTAGTCTGAACTGGCCGGAGGTGTCTCCCCAGTGACTCTGGCAGCTGCCCACAAGGATCTCACACACAGCGCCACGGCATAGCAGCCATTCCTGGGTGTGGGTCTCCTTTATGCCCTTGCTAGTGACTCAGATGGAGAGCCTGTGAGCGCTCGTTAAAGTTAGATTGAACCTTAATTGAGCACCAAGAAGGTGCATGACATTCCGAGAGAGCTCTGGGCAGGAGGAGCACAGGCAGGTCCCTCAGGGAGCCGTGTCCAGACTTGCAGGAATGCGAGGCTCTGTGGGTTTATCAGAGAGGGTCTTCAGAACTTCTGCTTCCAGCCATGATTGGAATAACAGGAAACAGATTTCTCTTCCAAGCCTAATCAAGTGGAAAACATGAGAAAACACATGAAACAAATGTTTTCAGACATTGGATAGGAAGCAGTGGGGACGGTGGTGCCTCTGAGAAGAGAAACAACTCTCCCACATCTAGAACCAACATCCAGACAGCCTCGAAACCTCTGTGTTTCAACAGCCAGACGGCCTCGAAACCTCTGTGTTTCAATAGTCCTTGTACCTGCTATGAAGTTTCTCAGCGTAAACTTCAGTGTGTGCACATCTCAGAGGAGGGCCAGGCTCTGGTGGGTTCTAGGGCCCCCCAACCTGTGCCCAGGTTGGCACAGACTTCCAAAGCACAAACATCATGACGCACTGAGAATAAACTGAGATGATGGACTTCATAAAAATTAAGTTTTTGCTCTTCTAAAGACAGTGCTAATCAAGTAAAAGGCAGACAAGAAGGAAATACTTTCAATACATATCTTCAACTCGATGAAACAACTCAGTTTTTTTTTAAGATGAAATATTTGAACATCCATCACAAAAGAAGACATAAGAATGGCAGTAAGCACAAGAAAATGTATTTAACATCATTAGTTACCAGGAAAGATAAATTTAAGCCACAGAGAGAGTTAAGGCTCTGCCACCGCGGAGGCCAAGCCGAAAGGCCGAGCGGCGTGTTGGCAGGCGGGCAGCAGGGTGGCACTGCTGGCGAGAGTGCAGATGGTCCAGCCACTCCAGAAAGCAGACTGGCAGTTTTTATGAAATTAAACATTCACTGTCCATGCCCCAGCAACCTCCCTCCTCAGTGTTCACCCAGGAAAAAGGAAAACACTCATTCTTCCACTCAGACTGGTACCAGGACTCTCACCACTTCAGCTGTGATCTCCACAGACTGGGAAAACACCAACGGCCATCCGCCGGGGGGTGGAAGAGCTGCGCTGTGTCCATCGCCCTGCAGCACAGAGAAAGCAGAGGACACACTCGGCAAGTTGGGCGAGCCCCAACACCACTGGCCTGGAGAGACCCACCCGCAGAGAGCAGAGACCACCCGGAGAGAATAGCCAGGTGTTAGAGAGCTTGTGGGAAACAGCCATTTTTGTGGGACTCGCGGCAGCAAGGGAAGCAGGGGTCTCCCACCTGGCGCATCACCGGCCTCCTCCTGGCGGGTGACGGAGATGCTCTGCGTCATGATCACACCGTGGTTCCATGACGCTTATCAAAACTCATCGCTCACATGCTGAAAGTTACACCTCCAGAGAGTAGGTTTGTGAAAAGGAGGCAGCAGTGCGGTTTTTGTTGTTAAGGGCTGAAGAGATAGGGAGATTTCTGGCATAAGTAAAGCAAGAGTTCTCATAAATGCACATACGGAAATCGTGACTGCACGTGGTCCTTCCTGCTGGTGTGAGCGAGTCACAAGCCGCACGGCTGAGTGTCCACATGCCTGTGTGCACGCAGAACAGGACGCCCGCCCTTGCCAGGCATCGCCAGGGGATGACCTGCCATCTTAACTCCTGGTTGGGCTCTCCTTGAATTATTTGTCCCTGTTCCCAAATCCTAAGCAGAGTGGGAGTTGTTCAAAGAAAGTTAACAAAAGTGATTAAAGATTTCGAGGGAAGTACAGCAGTGTTGTACAAGTTCAACCCAATAAATTAAAGTTGAATTTCTGGATAAAGTTCTCTGAGCATGTAGATGTTTAGTGCCCAGCAGTGACCCGTCAAGAAAACAATGTGAGCTAGACTAAAAGTACCTTAGAAGAAAACGTTTCATATAGAACCCACAACAGTTTTAAAAATAGAACAGTCTGTGACCATGGGATCTCAGTCATATTAAAACAGAATATAGCCTTTAGGTATCCGCATGTTTCCAGGCTACAAGATAACGTGGTGTCATGGGTGTTTCTGGTTCTCTGCCACGAGGTCACTTTCCCAATCTGAGATAACTATGAGAATGCTTTCTCATAGGTGACAATGTCATTTAACAACAACGACAAAAAAAACCCCAGCCAAGTGCAGTGGCTCATGCCTGTAATCCCAGCACTTTGGGAGGCCAAGTTGGGAAGATTTCTTGAGGCTAGGAGTGTGAGACCAGCCTGGGAAACATGGTGACACTCCATCTCTACAAAAGAACATTAGCTGGGCATGGTGGTGCTTACCTGCAGTCCAGCTACTCAGGAGGCTGAGGTGAGAGGATCAGCTGAGCCCAGGAGGTCAAGGCTGCAGTGAGTGATGATTGTACCGTTGTACTCCAGCCTGGGCCACGGAGCGAGACCCTGTCTCAAAAAAAAAAATCCCAGCTCCACTTCCGGCCCAACTCCACTTCCAGGACGGTGGGAGGTGGAGTAGATGGGTTCCTCCCTGCTCCTTCTGCTAAGTTGAGCTTGAAACTGTGGGCATCACACACAGAAGGCTCTGAGCGGGGAGCGAGGTGAACAGAGGGGCAAGGGGCGAGGCGGCAGGAGCTCCCCACATTTTCCAACAGCTGGAGCTGAAGGAGCCGGCAGCCTGGAAACGCCCCTGGGTGCAGAAATTTAAAATTTGAAAGTCCCAGCGAGGGCCCAGCCTCTCCAACCGCAGGTCCACAAAAGGGGCGCCAGGACGACAGATGACTTTCAGATGATCGTCACTGTACTCCACCCAGACGCCAGGGAAGGGCTGTGCCCGCCTCCCCCTCCCCAAAAAGGCAAGTGGAGAGCTGAAAGTGCCACTTCACGAGATGTAGCGAGGCACCCAGCATCTCCAGGGTGATGGAATGGGAGGCAGGACTCCGTCCCCAGTGTCGGGGATATTGAGCCCCTCAGTGTCAGTGGAGGCCGCACAGGGAGCCTGAACCCCTGCCCCTGCACAGCAACAAGAACAGTGCCCTCCTCTCCCCACCACAGCAGGGCCAGCACCCTTCAGAAAATTCAGAGTCTCATATGCAGTACCCGGAATGTCAAGGCTTCCGTCAGTCCCTTGCCATACCGAGAACCAGGAAGATTTCAAGGTGAATGGAAGACAGGCAACAGAAGCCAGCCCTGAGATGGCAGAGATGCTAGAATTCTCTGACAAAGACTGGGAAACAGCCATTACCAACATACTTGGAGCAAATGGCAAAATAGAACAGCCCAGCAGACAAGATACAGAGCAGAACCAAATGGAAATCTTAGAGATGAGAAATAACCCAGACAAAAAATGCCACGACTGGGCTTAGCAGCAAAATAGAAGGAACAGAGGAAGGACACAGTGAACTGGAAGATAGAAAAACAGAAAGTCCTCAATATGAACAACAGAGAGAAATTGACTGAAAAAAAAAAATGGATCAGAGCCTCAGGGACAGCAAAATGGTAACTGTACCGTTTGTGCCGTGGGAGCCCTGGCCTCTGACCGTTGGTGCCATGGGAGTTCCAGGGGAGAAGGGACAGGGCAGGGCTAGGAAAGTACTTGAAGGAATAAAGACTGAAAACCTCCCAGATTTAGCAAAATACATAAATGTACAGATTCAAGAAAGTAAGCAAACCCTGAACAGGATAAAGTCAAAGATAATCGTCATCAAACTGATGAAAACCAAAGACAAAGAAACCCATTGAAAGCAGCCAGTGGGGCGACAGGGTATGTTGGGGATAACTGGAAACCGTGCAGGCAGAGGGACGCAGGTGCTGGAAAAGGCCTCATGGGCACGGGATGCTGCAGCCAGTGAGGGCCACTTCCAGAAGGGAAAGCAGGTGTTGGCAAGACTTGTGTCCAGCAGTCCCTAAAGAATCTCCAAGCTCAGCCATGAAGGAGCAGCCCCGTTAAGAAAAGGACAGAAGGCGCAGAGGCAGCCACCCTGTGTGTGAGGGGATGCACAGACCGCAAGCAAGCCCGTGAAACGATGCCCGCATCGTCAGCCACAGAGACCAGGTTAGACCACAGGGCGCTCCGCCTCACACCTGCCAGAATTGTGGGGAAGAGTCATGGAAACTGGGTAGCTCTTATATTGCTGTGGGAGCATAAATCCTACTATCTGGAAGATGTTTTAACAATTTCTTTGAAAAACTATACCACCACCATGTGACCTAGCACCCACGCTCCCGGGATTTATACCATCTCACTCGGCACTCCTTTCTAAACCTAGCACTCATACTCCCAGGCGTTTATACCATCTCACTCAGCACTCCTGTCCAGACCTAGCACCCACGCTCCTGAGGTTTATACTATCTCACTCAGCACTCCTGTCCAGACCTAGCACCCACGCTCCTGAGGTTTATACCATCTCACTCGGCACTCCTGTCCAGACCTAGCACCCACGCTCCCGGGGTTTATACCATCTCACTCGGCACTCCTGTCTAGACCTAGCACCCACGCTCCTGAGGTTTATACCATCTCACTCGGCACTCCTGTCCAAAATAAATGGAAACTTCGCCAAAAAATCTGTGCAGTGAATATTTACAGCAGTTTTATTTGTGATAATCAAAAACTAGGACTAACCCAGATGTACTTCAGTGGTTAAGCAAACTGTAGTTCATTTGCCTGCCACTAAATAGTAGTCAGCAATAGAAAATTACCTACTGATACAGCAGCAACCTAGATGAATCTCCAGAGAATTGTGCTGTGTAAAAGACACCAATCCCCAAAGTTAGCCTGCTGGACATTCTTGAAATGACCAGATTAGAGATGGGGAACAGATTCTTGGTGACCAGGGAATAGGGAGGAGGCGGCAGAGGGAAGTGGTTGCAACTACATAGCAGCCTCAGGAGGGACCCTGTGCAAGGGGTGCCCTGGGTCTGGAGGTGTCCGCGTGAGGGACCCTGTGCGAGGGGTGCCCTGGGTCTGGAGGTGTCCGTGTGAGGGACCCTGTGCGAGGGGTGCCCTGGGTCTGGAGGTGTCCGTGTGAAGGACCCTGTGCGAGGGGTGTCCTGGGTCTGGAGGTGTCCATGTGAGGGACCCTGTGCGAGGGGTGCCCTGGGTCTGGAGGTGTCCATGTGAGGGACCCTGTGCGAGGGGCCCTGGGTCTGGAGGTGTCCGCGTGAGGGACCCTGTGCAAGGGGTGTCCTGGGTCTGGAGGTGTCCGTGTGAGGGACCCTGTGCGAGGGGCCCTGGGTCTGGAGGTGTCCTTATGGATCCTGGTGGTGAGGTTCACACTACACTTATCTAAGATGTTACCAATGGGAGAACTGGGTAAAGATCGCAGAAAATCTCTGTGCTATTCCTGACAACTGCATATGAGTCTACAATGATCTCAACATAGAAAGGTAAACCTTTTTAAAAATCATTCTTCTCCCTGTAAGCATTTGTGACTTACAAAACATGCTACTGTGCTCTGAGATAAATATTCAGTCTCCGCAATCATCTTACTTGGTTGCCAAATTACTTTGTTGGTTTTTGTGGAGTACGTTTTGGTGTTTTTGAAACTGTGACCTCTAATCCAGAGGTCTCTTTGTAGCCGTGTGGTAGAAGTCTCTCAGGCCCGTTGCACTCCGCTTTTGGTCTTGCAGGTATGCCACCATCTACACCATGTTCCCAGTGTTCTCCTTAGTGCTGGACCAGGACGTGAAGCCAGAGATGGCGATGCTCTACCCGGAGCTGTACAAGGACCTCACCAAGGTATGGGCCTCAGGCAGGCTGTCTGCCTCAAGACTGGCACTCACGCCTGGCATTTTACACAAGTGAGAAACAGGCCAGTCAGGAGGCATTTCCAAGCATTTTGTGAAAAACGATTCTCTGTCCTTCAAGACGTTTTTTATGTCTCCTAATTATTTTTGGCATTTTCTCTTTGAGTTAAACTTCAAAAGGGGAAAAACATCTCAGGGAAAAAAAATTTCTCAAATATTTGCAACAAAGCTCTAATATCGTACGTAAAATTAGAATTGTAAAAGATGCTCTCACCATTTGTGGAACTTTCATGAAGTGAGCTCACCAAATGTCAGAGAAGAGCTCGCTTCATAATTTCTGTAGAAAGGCTCCCGGACAGTGTCACTGCACCTGCTGCAGAAGTAGCATTCCAAAGCTGGGGAACCCATGGGCTTCACGTTTCCTGTGTATTTCTAAGTCTGTCGATAGTTGTGGATTTCACAATTATATCTGAAAAGTGACTGACAGCATGCGTCTGTCCCTGGGGTTCATAGACTATTTTTGCAGTGATGCCACCAAGAAAAAAATCCACCCCAGGAAACTTCAGTTACCTGAAACTCTGCAAAAGATGCATTTATTTGGCTTAAAACTGTGCTCTGTTAGGATTAAAGAAGGTTTGAATTTATCATATTCTTACAACAGCATATTTTATAGCATAGAACGTGTAAGGATGCGAGGTAGAAGAGAGGCTCAGCTCTGCAGACACAAATCATGGTAACTCTGGTATTTTCCACAAAGCTAGCTTTTTTGAGCCAACATTGAGAACAAAATCCACTAACCTGCAATTATATTTAGATTTACAATTGATAAATGACAGGTGTCTGAAATTATCAACTCAGATTTTTAAAGCAGTAGCTGTATGGTAAAGAAAGAATTAGATTAGGCATTAAAGAAAGTTAATGACTACCTAACAAACAGATTCTAGTCCAACTAACCACTAATTAACCAACTACCTTCTTACCTAGCTAACCACAAACTGAGAAACTAGACTCCCGTCTATCTAACTAGTAACTAACAAATGATACTCTATCTAATAACAACTAACCACTAACAAACTAGACTCTTATCCAGCTAACCACTGACTGACGAACTAGACTCTAGTCCAGCTATAACCACTTATTAGCCAGAGAGGTGCTGGGGAAGTCATGTTAACTTTTTGATTTCTTGATGTTATTGTAAAGGGCTAATGAAATAAAGACTTTAAAGTTTCTTGAAAAAAAATAATTCTCATTACTGTTTTAATCAAGACAAATAAAGCTAGTTCACCAGTATCACATGAAATATAAATATCAAGCATTATTATCATGATGGTGATATCATCATGGCGACTGGGAAACCTCATCCCAGGTCACATCTACAACTCGAAGGAAGACTGGTTAAGTGTCTTAAACTGATGAAACCATTGTGATGAAGTCCAGCAGAGTAGGGAGCAAAGATCCAGAAACTTCAGGAAGCTAGTATGAATAATGATCATTTTAGTAGCATACGCATTTCCTCATTCCCAGAGACTCCAAAAATGTTTACCTAAATGCTGCCTTACAAACGTACGGAAACACGCCTTTCATGTAAGAACGTTAAACTTTGAAGCTCTACCCTCAAACCTAGGAAACCAGCACCCAAGCAGGCCGAAGGTCACTAGGGGTCTCGTAGCCCCAGCCGGTGCTCCTAGATCACTGTGCTGGGAGAAGCTTGTCATAGGACTGTCATGCCACAGCCATCTTGACCGCCTGTTGGAGTGAGGCACTAACACGTTTTTACTGTTTTCAAGGATTGAGATTGCACCCACCAGTCTCTTTCTTTGTGGATATCTAAATCACTCTAGAAACAAGATGCTCATAAGGCCACAGGTGCGGAGCAGCTAATTATCCCTAACTGTGGCCATGGAATCAGTACGTTCTGTGTTACTCACTGGTGCCATTGAACCCTGTTCACTTCTGATTGAGTTGGATCTCATTAAGGGCATTAAATTTCCATTTTTGTTAAGGTGATCAACAATTTAGACTGTTTTAGTATCCTAAAGTCAGATCACCATCCCTACATTTTTTTTTTTTTGGTCAAGAATTCAGTCACTCATTTTCTCTAGGCTTCTTTTCTTCAACATCTTATCTGCATTGTAACTTTTTTTTTTTTTTTTTTTTTTTTTTTGGAGACGGAGTCTCGCTCTGTTGCCCAGTAACTTTTTTTTTAATCGACTACACTTCAAATCCTTTGAAAAGAAAATAGCTAAAGTACTGAGCCACTAAAGTTAATTTAGTTGTTTTTTCTTATTGAAGCTAAAGAATTATTTTGAAGCTTTCTGTTACTTCTGAACAGTTCACCAAGGTGGCACAGACTGCAGCACTCTGCGTTATTGTCTGATGACCGGGGCAGCTGGAGACTGGATGTGCCAACGTAGTCTATCCAAGCTGGTCAGTGTCAGTGGACACCGAGTCCCCAGTCCGTCGGCTCAAGCTCCTGTGATGTAAGACAACATAGCCCTGCTCTCAACAAGCCTGTGTTCTAGTCAGGCTAAGAAAGCAGTTAATCCGTGGCATAGAGCAACAGCGTAAAGGGCTGCAGGCTGAAATGTGAGTGGCTGACCAGCGAGTGCCAGTCCTGTCAGTTCTGAGTCACATATCTCAGGTCACGGTAAATTTATAAAATACCTTCAGAGGCAAGGCGTGCATTCCCTGCACACAGGAAAAGACTCAACTGGAAAGAAAATCTCCTCTTTTTCATGTGTATTTGATAACCAGTCTTTTTAATCTAAAAGTACAAATAAGGCACGCATTATAAATCTCATTTACTGTCCTAATGAGTTAGCCAACCTCGAGTATAAACATTTGTCCCCTGTTGTGTCTCGATGGCCTGAGCCACACATGGACACAGTATCTATTCAGTAAGTATTTGATAAATGAATGAGGCAGTGAATGAATCAGTTAAACCAAGAGTCAGGATTTCCTTTGCTTTCCTAAAACTATGTAGCTTTTATTCTTTACAGAAAATAGTATATTTGCAATAATATTTTGTTGTTCTTTTGAAGCTCAAATTTTGCTTTGAATTATTAAACTTTACTCAAGATGAGTTCAGGGACTTAATTTTCTGGATGCCAATAAGACAGGAAGCTGACCTACTCATCTCTCTCCTAACTCTGCACATGTCTTCATTCATTCTGAATGGTGCGTGACCACTTAGAGAAGCTACTTAACTCCAAGATCCAGGCATCAGGACTAGTAAGGTGACCCTGGTTAACTGAGCCAGCCCACGTGGTCCCAAAATATCTCAGATTGTGGCTGTGAATTTTGTTACCAATTCATAATCTTACATTACCAGCTAACTCCAAAGACATTTGATTTGTAGTTGTGCTAATTGTAAAGATATCAAGTAGGTAATATCATACAGTTCTTCATAAAATCTTTGAAACCATTAGGTATTGAACCATTCGGACCCCTTCACTATTTTTTATTTTCTGTAGAATACTCTCAAATGGTTTTATCTTTTGAAATGTATATTCACATAGTTATATACTTTTCAAAATAATAGTGAATAAGGCAATAAAAGGAAATTTAAAACATTGAGATTAGAAAGGAGGAAATAAAAATATCTGTGTTTGTAGATACTATAATTTTCTATGTAGAATCCACACACATACAACCTCCTATCCTAGTAAACTTCATAAAGTTTCAGGATACAAGGAATAATTTTTCAAAATCATTTCTGATTCTGTATATTAGCAATGAATAATTGGGGTGTGAAAAAATGTGTAAATATAATAATACATTTAAGCATTTATAATAATACAAGAACGTGAAACACTGAAGTGTGCCTCTAACAAAATACACGCAAGATCTGTGCGCTGGAAACCAACAACACTGAGGAAAGAAACTGTAAAAGGCGTAAATAGATGTTCCTGGATTGAGAGGTGTAAACAGATGTTCCTGGATTGAGAGGTGTAAACAGACGATCCCGGATTGAGAGACGTGAACAGACGATCCCGGATTGAGAGGCGTGAACAGACGATCCCGGATTGAGAGGCGTGAACAGACGATCCCGGATTGAGAGGCGTGAACAGACGATCCCGGAGTGAGAGGCGTGAACAGACGATCCCGGAGTGAGAGGCGTGAACAGACGATCCCGGAGTGAGAGGCGTGAACAGACGTTCCCGGAGTGAGAGGCGTGAACAGATATTCATGCATTGAGAGGCGTGAACAGATGTTCATGCATTGAGAGGCGTGAACAGATGATCCTGGAGTGAGAGGCGTGAACAGATATTCCCGGATTGAGAGGCGTGAACAGATGTTCCCGGAGTGAGAGGCGTGAACAGATGTTCCCGGAGTGAGAGGCGTGAACAGATGTTCCCGGAGTGAGAGGCGTGAACAGATGATCCTGGAGTGAGAGGCGTGAACAGATGATCCTGGAGTGAGAGGCGTGAACAGATGTTCCCGGATTGAGAGGCGTAAACAGATGATCCCAGATTGAGAGGCGTGAACAGATGTTCCCGGAGTGAGAGGCGTGAACAGATGTTCATGCATTGAGAGGCGTGAACAGATATTCCCGGAGTGAGAGGCGTAAACAGATGTTCATGCATTGAGAGGCGTGAACAGATGATCCTGGAGTGAGAGGCGTGAACAGGTATTCCCGGATTGAGAGGCGTAAACATATGATCCCGGATTGAGAGGCGTGAACAGATGTTCCCGGATTGAGAGGCGTGAACAGATGATCCCGGATTGAAAGGCATGAACAGATGTTCCCGGAGTGAGAGGCGTGAACAGATGTTCCTGGAGTGAGAGGCGTGAACAGATGTTCCCGGAGTGAGAGGCGTGAACAGATGTTCCCGGATTGAGAGGCGTAAACAGATGTTCCCGGATTGAGAGACGTGAACAGACAATCCCGGATTGAGAGGCGTGAACAGATGTTCCCGGAGTGAGAGGCGTGAACAGACGTTCCCGGATTGAGAGGCGTGAACAGACAATCCCGGATTGAGAGGAGTGAACAGATGTTCCCGGAGTGAGAGTCGTGAACAGACGTTCCTGGATTGAGAGGTGTAAACAGATGTTCATGTATTGAGAAGCATAAACAGATATTCCTGGAGTGAGAGGCGTGAACAGATGTTCCTGGAGTGAGAGGCGTAAACAGATGATCCTGGATTGAGAGAGGTGAACAGATGTTCATGCATCGAGAGGCGTAAACAGATATTCCCGGAGTGAGAGGCGTGAACAGATGTTCCTGGAGTGAGAGGCGTAAACAGATGATCCTGGATTGAGAGACGTGAACAGATGTTCATGCATCGAGAGGCGTAAACAGATATTCTTGAGAGGCGTGAACAGATATTCCTGGGTTGAGAAGCATAAACAGATGTTCCTGGAGTGAGAGGCGTAAACAGATGATCCTGGATTGAGAGACGTGAACAGATGTTCATGCATCGAGAGGCGTAAACAGATATTCCTGGAGTGAGAGGCGTGAACAGATGTTCCCGGAGTGAGAGGTGTGAACATTCATGCATTGAGAGGCATGAACAGATATTCCTGGGTTGAGAAGCATAAACAGATGTTCCTGGAGTGAGAGGCGTAAACAGATGATCCTGGATTGAGAGACGTGAACAGATGTTCATGCATCGAGAGGCGTAAACAGATATTCCCGGAGTGAGAGGCGTGAACAGATGTTCCTGGAGTGAGAGGCGTAAACAGATGATCCTGGATTGAGAGACGTGAACAGATGTTCATGCATCGAGAGGCGTAAACAGATATTCCCGGAGTGAGAGGCGTGAACAGATGTTCCTGGAGTGAGGGCTTCAGTGTTGTTGCACGTTGACAAGCTCACTCTAGAATTTATACAGAAAGGCAAGGGAACTCGAATTGCCAAAATAATTTAGAAAAAGAACAGAGTTGGAAAACACACTACCTGATTCCAAGACTTACTGTAAAACAGTAATCAATTAGACAATGTGTTATTGGCAAAAGGACAAACAAAAGATCAATGGAACAGAAAAGAGAGCCCAGAAATACACTCACGTCTGTCAGATGATCTTTGGCAAACGTGAGAAGAAATCAGATGGAGAAGAGTTGTGTCTGCAGCTGTTGGGACAACTGGCCGCCCATGAGCAACAGACCTGCAGCCACCACCTCACACCTCATGTGAAAATGCACCCAAAGTGGACCCTTGACCTACATGTAAAGCTATAAACCTTTCAGAAGGAAATACACACCAAATATGCATGACCTTCGGTTAGGCAAAGAGTTTTCAGACATGAGATCAAAATCATGATCCTTAAAGGGAAAAAAATAATAAATTAGACTTTACCATATTTTAGAAGTTTTTGCCAGGTGCAGTGATTTATCGTGCCTGTAATACCATCACTTTGGGAGGCTAAGGCGAGAGGAAAACTTGAGCCCAGAAGTTCAATACCAGTCTGGGCAATATAGTAAGACCGTGTCTCTACAAAAAATAGAAAAAATTAGCTGAGCATGGTGGTTGCTGTGTGCCTGTAGTCCCAGCTACTCGGGCTAAGGTGGGAGGATTGCTTGAGCCAAGGAGGTGGAGGCTGCAGTGATCTGTGATTGAGCCACTGCACTCCAGCCTGGGTGACAGAGTGAGACCCTGTCTCCAAAAAAAAAAAAGAGAAAAAGTTTTTCTCTGTGAATGATACTGTTAAGGAAATGAAAAAACAAGCCACAGCCTGGAAGAAAATATTTGCACGTCACCCTTTTGATAAAGGAGTTGTTTCTATAGTATATAAGAAATCCCCAAAATTCAACGAGAAAACAACCCAATTTTTAAAGCAGACAGGAGATATTACTGGACACCACCTCAGAGATGATCCTCAGATGGCAAAAGGAAGCCTGTGAAGATGCTCGGTGTCACTTCCTTCAGGGAACTGCAAGTTGAAGCCACAGTGAGTTGCTGCGTACCCCCCAGTGCTAGAGCAGCCGAAACACCGGCCACATGAAAGGCTGGGAGGACCCAGAGCAACAGAGACTCCCCTTCACTGTAGGGGTGAAGGAAGGATGGCACAGCCTCTTTGGAAGACAGTTTGGGCATTTCTTACAAAGGTAAACATATATTTACCCCATGACCCAGTAGTCCATTCCTAGGTATTTCTCCAAGAGAAATGAAAACAGATTCATACTAAATCCTATATATGAATGTTCACAGCAGCACTGTCATCGTTGCCAAAAACTGGAAACAGCCCTATGCCCTTCAGCCAGTGGATGGAGGACATCTCTGTGGATGGGGACAGTCCGTGCGTGGATGGGGACAGCCCGTGCGTGATGGAGGACATCTCTGTGGACGGGGACAGCCCGTGCGTGATGCCACCAGGCAGTGGGATTGTGCTGAGCAGTGAGAGGGTTACTGCTGACTCACACGACATGTTGGATCATACATTTTGCATTTTGCTGCACAACAGAAGCCAGACTGGAAAGGTGGTATGGTTCTTTTTACTTGACACCTGGGAGGTGCAGAACTGTAGAGAAGAGACCCGTCAGTGGTCGCTAAAGGTTTGAGTGTAGAGGGTGACCAGAGAGGCAGCCCAAGGGGGTGTGGGTGCGGGAGCTGCTCTGTGTGGCGTGGTGGTGGGGGACACCTGACCGTGCCCCTGTCAGAGCCCACTGGACGGCACCAGCATGGAGCCCACGGGAGGAGGAGTGCAGACAGCGGCCCATGAACCACAGAACCACGCTGTGGGCTGGGAAGAAAGGGGCTCTTTTCAGTGGCTTAGGAAAAGCTTTTGCCTCTGGTTCGCTGTAAGGCTGAAGACAAAAAGAACTGCACTTGTAATCCCAGCACTTTGGGAGGCCAAGACGGGCGGATCACGAGGTCAGGAGATCGAGACCATCCTGGCTAACCTGGTGAAACCCCGTCTCTACTAAAAAATACAAAAAACTAGCTGGGCGAGGTGGCGGGCGCCTGTAGTCCCAGCTACTCAGGAGGCTGAGGCAGGAGAATGGCAGGAACCCGGGAGGCACAGCTTGCAGTGAGCTGAGATCTGGCCACTGCACTCCAGCCTGGGTGACAGAGCGAGACTCCGTCTCAAAAAAAAAAAAAAAAGAACTGCAAACCATGGGCTACGTTTGGCATTTGCTTCTCACAGGAACCAATAAGCCCATGCCTGGTAGCTAATGAGAAGCAGATTTCTCCCTGTTAGTGACAAAGTTAGAAATACAGGGCTGGATTGAAGCCTAGATCAGTTTGGGCTTGTGGTTTCTGTGAGATAAATAAATAGATGAAGAAATAAACATGGACATGTGTGAGCATGGCTTAGTAAACACACACACAGTCCTAGGCCGTACGTCGAGCAGCTGGAATCGAACCCCGGCAGCAATGAGCATGCTGAGAGTGCAGATCGTGCGGACGAGGCCCTGTGCTGTCCCCCACCGTGCAGAGCCCTAGAGAAGGGGTTAATTCCAGGGCTGAGGCAAGGAAAATACGAGATGAGCCTGGAACTTCTTGTGGAACAAAAAAGTAAGGAACCGCTGAACAAGAATCAGTGTGGCTGGTCCGTCGGCGTCAGAGACTGAGCCTCCCAGGGCCCAGCACCTAACGCCCTGCACAGCAGCCCAGACAGCAGCATGACTAGATGGTACCCAGGGAGCACACAGATACCTCCACCTCCACCATGTATACGCAGAGAAAGCGCCTCCTCAGCCGGAGGATTCCAGTTATAAATGTGAAGGAACCAGGGCAGTCTGAGGCCCCGCGGAGGCACCAGGGCAGCAGCCACTGTCACGAGGTCTTCCAAGGGACGCAGAACCCCAGGGTCACAGTTCCCATCACCAGGGATGAGAGAGGCCACACCTCCTGCTGTGGAGCCCTGCGGGGAACACGCGTCCCCTCAACAAATCCTCCCCAGTAGTGTCATCGCTAGAAGACATCGGACAAATCCAAAACAAGGGCATTCCACAAAGACATGTCCAGAGCTTTGAGGAGCAGCCAGGTCATTAAAGACGGGGAGACAGAGGCACTGGCCAGATCACAGAGCCCAGGAGACATGACGGCCAGGGCAGTGCAGGGGCCCTGGGCAGGAAAATTGCGTTCGAGAAAAACTGGGACCTCCACACTGTTTCTCTGCCAAGGTGTGTGTCTGTGTCTTCGTGGAGTGTTGCCCCGGGTGAGCTGGACGGCGCCATGGCCCCGGGTGAGCTGGACGGCGCCGTGGCCCCGGGTGAGCTGGACGGCGCCGTGGCCCCGGGTGAGCTGGACGGCGCCGTGGCCCCGGGTGAGCTGGACGGCGCCGTGGTCCCGGGTGAGCTGGACGGCACCGTGGGGCTGTCTGCACTGCTTCTGCAGCTTCCCTGCAAGTCTAAAGTGATCTCAAGGCAAAATGATTGGCCAGATGCGGTGGCTCACGCCTGTAATCCCAGCACTTTGGGAGGCCGAGATGGGCAGATCACGAGGTCAGGAGATCCAGACCATCCTGGCTAACACAGTGAAACCCCGTCTCTACTAAAAAATACAAAAAACTAGCCGGGCGAGGTGGCGGCGCCTGTAGTCCCAGGTACTCAGGAGGCTGAGGCAGGAGAATGGCGGGAACCCAGGAGGCAGAGCTTGCAGTGAGCCGAGATCCGGCCACTGCACTCCAGCCTGGGCGACAGAGCGAGACTCCGTCTCAAAAAACAAAACGAAACAAAACAGAGTCAGAGCCGTGAAAGTCTTCAATTTTCCTAGGAGAGATGAACAGAATTGGACACGACATCATGTGCCTGTGGTCCCAGCTGCCTGGACTGGAGGATCACTTGAGCCTGGAAGGTGGAGGCTGCGGTGAACTGTGATCGCACCACTGCACTCCATCCCTCAGCAATACATCAGGACCCTGTCTCTACAAAATCAGAATTGTGTTTGCAAAGCTGCAGTCTTATCCTTCAAAGTATGGAGTTTATAACCAGCCCGTGTCTGCGCCTGGCCCTAGCCCGGTTGCGACCAGTCCGCGGCAGCAAGCCCATTTAGGTGCACACTGTCTGCTTGGCGGCTCCCGTTTAACCTGTCCAGCAACTTTCTGTCCAGTAATATTCGAAGTTCATTTTGTATTCTGTGATTTGTATTTAATGAAATTGAGCTTATCCATGTAAGAATGAAGGAATGAGACCTTGAAGAAATCAGTCACCATAATTTCAGACCATTAATAGAAGAAAGAAAAGCGACAGTGGAGTGAGCCTGGCAAGCAGAGGAGCTGCTGGGACGTTGCTTACCCGCCCCTTTGCTGCAGGACCTTCGCACCCTCAGGAGCAGGGCAGGCCGGGCGCTGAGTGGCAGGAAACCCGCTCTTCCTCTCCAGCCTCCCTTCCTGCCAAGGCCAGAGACACGTGCAGAGCCCCAGTTAATTGGGGCTTCTCTCCCCCGCGCCACCATGTGCACCGTCCTTCCCTCTCTGTTTGTAGGGTTTGTTCTTGATACACTTTGGCTGCATCTTTTTCTCCTCTTGTATCTGCCTATAGGATCTTTCTACTCCACACTCCCAAACTTCCCTCAAATAATTACAATTATGGGAACAGGCGAAATTTTTTATTGTTGTTGTTCTACTAAGAATCAGATTGGGAGGCCGAGGCAGGCAGATCACGAGGTCAGGAGATGGAGACCATCCTGGCTAACACGGTGAAACCCCATCTCTGCTAAAAATACAAAAAATAAGCTGGGCGTGGTGGCGGGCGCCTGTAGTCCCAGCTACTCAGGAGGCTGAGGCAGGAGAATGGCATGAACCCAGGAGGTTGGGCTTGCAGTGAGCTGAGATTGCGCCACTGCACTCCAGCCTGGGTGACAAAATGAGACTCAATCTCAAAAAAAAAAAAAGAATCAGAGAAAGTATATTGTGGAGGTAGGCTGGGAGAATAAATTGTAATAGTGAGAACAGTGGTTACAGACTCAGGACAGGAGCCCTGGCATTTTGGAGGGGCTGGTCTCATACCACAGTGCCGATCCACGCAGAGGGACCCCATCTCATGTCATGCACGCATCAGCGTGCTCCGTGCACCGCCGCCCTGAGCCTTCCAAACGAATAATTGTGCACATATGACTTTAAGGTGGGTTAATCTTTCCTTAAAATTTGCTTGATTTGACTGGGCACAGTGGCTCACGCTTGTAATCCCAGCACTTTAGGAGGCCAAGGCAGACAGATCACCTGAGGTCAGGAGTTCGAGGCCATCCTGGCCAACATGACAAAACCCCGTCTCTACTAAAAGTACAACAATTAGCTGGGCGTGGTGGTGCACACCTGTAATCGCAGCCACTAGGGAGGCTGAGGCAGGAGAATCGCTTGAACCTGGGAGGCGGAGGTTGCAGTAAGCTGAGATTGCGCCACTGCACTCCAGCCTGGGCGACAGAATGAGACTCCGTCTCAAAAAAAAAAAAAAATTTGCTTGATTTTATTTTTTATGTTTTTTGGTACAATAGAAATATACTTTCTGAATCCGTAATATTTAATTGGTAAATATAACAGTAGCATTCAGTGAATATTTACTATGCTGCTGGCATTGTGCATATTTTATTTCATGGCTCATTTTATTTCATGCACATGAGCCACATGCCACTGTTACTTCTATTTCACAGAGGAGGGAACTGAGGCACAGAGATTAAGTCCTGAGCCCGAGGATGCAGCAGGAAGGCGTGTGCTAGGCAGGGCTCCACTCCAGGTATTCCACACATACGGGGGCATCAGTCAGAGTAGCAGACGGCTTCCTCTTCCTAAACCAAATGAAGTGGTACCTGGCCCAGGAAGAGAGACTTTGTCCGTCACATGAAACCCTTAGTGAATGAATTGCTTCTTTGAGTAACGTGTCTGTACCATCAAATATAACAGGATTTTGTTCTCAGCTACAGTCTGGGAGCCATTAATAGGAGATGTACGCACGTTTTTCTCAAACTGTCTATTTTATTGATGGTTTTTGTACCCGTTCTGTTGTGTTTGCTTTTATTAATCTATAATGTCGTCTGCTTCGATACGGAACAGCCCACGGGTGCGGGTCTGAGGTGTGGCTCCCTGCTGGCAGCTCCTAACAAGAGAGACCGCACAAACGCCGCTTTATCTTTCCATGTAGACGCCTATCGTTGTCCCACATGAATAAAACTGAATACACTCCAGCAAATCAGGCCACAAAATAGCCTTTTCTTTCTTATGTCAAAATAAATTTCCTTTTACAGTTTTTGATTAAAATGAGCCAGGTACTTAATTACAGATGAATTTCATGAGCAAAGACCAAACACCTACCATTACCCAGGGAGAGAAATGTCCTCGGGAAATATGTACCGCGAGAACTTATTTAGAGTATATAAACGGTTCAACTTAAAAGTTTCTTGCTTTTTAAAAATCAGTGGTGCTTGGCTGGACGTGGTGGCTCACGCCTGTAATCCTAGCATTTTGGGAGGCCGAGGCGGGCGGATCACCAGGTCAGGAGATCGAGACCATCCTGGCTAACACTGTGAAACCCCGTCTCTACTAAAAATGCAAAAAATTAGCCGAGCCTGGCGACACCTGTAGTCCCAGCTACTCGGGAGACTGAGGCAGGAGAATGGCGTGAACCCAGGAGGCAGAGCTTGCAGTGAGCGGAGATCGCGCCACTGCACCCCAGCCTGGGCAACAGAGCCAAACTCCATCTCAAAAAACAAACAAACAAACAAAAAACAGCAGTAGTGCTTTTTAATCACAGTGAGTTTGAATCTTCCTTTTCATATTCACGTGTGGTAAGGGCTCAGGCTCCGTCAGCATCTTCACACACGAACCCTGGCAACCTAGGAAAACACTTAATATGTCACCACACTTGTCTTTTATATTTCAACTACAACTAGAATGATAGTTAGTAAATCTGCCACTGGTGGGCTCCTGCAGGAATATAGCCACAGTTCCAGCGTCCGCGCCTCTGTTCTCTGATGACTCATGCCTGTGTAAAGGTCTTCAGCAGACTCAGGCAGGTGCGGGTTCAGACGGGCCCTGAGCACAGCCTGTCACCGTCCTCCATCTTCCCTGCTGTCTTCTGTGTCCCCTGAGCTTCCGTGAGGGTTTGTCTTTCCTCTGTGGCTCTTTAAACCACTTCCTGTCCTTTGGAGAATCTCCCCTGTGGGTGGGGAAGCTCTAAATCAGGGTAGGACTTTGGGCTCTGATCGGCAGACTGCACTTAGCGCCCCCAGCCTCCAGCGAGAACCTAAGGAAATCAGGAAACTTCTCAAGTTTCGTTGTCTGTAAATGGAAACGACGTCTGCCCTGCGTAACTGAGAAAATAGATGCGAAGGTGTCAAGTAAACGAAGTCCTCGCATCAAGACAGGGCCTCGTGACACGCGTCACTGTTGACAGCTTCTTAGCACCAACAAGTCAGGGCGGTTGTTAATGACTCAGCCTCTGTTCTTGGACTGTGAATTAATCTTAAGGGGTGCGGCGGGACAAGCAACCCTGTGGGCCAGAGCTCCCGTCCGGCCCCCTCATCACCTGCCTTCAACTTCGCAGAGTGAAGAGCCTGGCACAAGGACCCATTCCATCCACGTGGGGTTATGGATGTGACACATTCTCCAACAAGGGTTTGAGGGATAATTTTTTACTTCAGTTGGGATGTGCCATCCTTACTGAAGAGCTGTTAACCTTTTGTATCTTTTGATCTGAAAAAACTAAACAGTAAATACAGGAGTATTTGTTCACAATAAGGGTAAATGTTTTTATTGCCAAGAGCCTTTCCCCCCTGGTTCATTGAAATGTTTGCTTGTATACATCACTCCTGGCTTATTAGAACTATGGCTTAAACATCGAATAAGACGGCAGGTCAAACAGAAGAGAACTTGAACCTCTAACCTCAGGCACCAGTGGACACATGTGGGGCCCAGGCAGCTTCTTCAGGATTCGGGTGCCAGGAAAAGGCACCCTGAAATGCTGGTAGACCAGGTGGCTGGGGTGGTATGGATGGGGCTTGTGGACCCGGGGTCTGTGAGTCAAGCAGGTGGTTCCGCGCATTAACGACACTCTTCCACTGTTTCCCTAGGGAAGATCCTTGTCCTTCAAAACCTTCCTCATCTGGGTTTTAATCAGTATTTACCAAGGTAAGACGGGATCCTTAGTTTACTGGACTAAAGAATTTTTTTATTTTGGTCTTCTTTTAGCAATACTGTTTTTACTTGCAGATTAAATTCCAACAGCTTAAGATGTCACCAGCAGTTAAATACTGCCTTCCGTTTGTCCTGTCAATCGATATTCCAGCAACATGGGCCCTTTTATGTTTTAACTGATGCATGTCACCCAAAAACTGACTTAGTTTTTAATTAAATGTTAATCCAGAAAGATTTTAACAAGCGCTTACACATTGTATACCCTGCACAATGGCTTTCTTTCATAGAGTGATGAAAAGACTGAGGAATCTGAGTTCTGTAAGGAGAAGCCATTAGCTGCTCTTTGTTTAGTGTTCATCTAAATGGGAGATTGTTGAAAGCATAACTAACAGATCAGATCTATTAGTTACATGCAACACGTAACTATTTACACTAATTGAAGTAGAGGTAGTAGAGGTGTGGCTTTGCATCCAGAGATGAGAACGTTTGTCAACCTCTATTTGCCATTTCTAACTGATCTAGCTGGGATCCCATCTTATTTTGTCCGTAATCTCGTGTCCATAATCCAGAGTTTAAGCGATTTGTTCATCAGCATGAAGCATGGGCATGACAGTTATCTGCCCTTTTTTTTTTTTTTTTTTTGACAGAGTCTCGCTCTGTTGCCCAGGCTGGAGTGCAGTGGCGTGGTCTCAGTTCACTGCAACCTCCGTCTGCTGGGTTCAAGCGATTCTCCTGCCTCAGCCTCTTGAGTAGCTGGGATTACAGGTGTGCGCCATCACACCTGGCTAATTTTTTTGTATTTTTAGTAGAGATGGGGTTTCAGCATGTTGGCCAGGCTGGTCTCAAACTTCCGACCTCGTGATCCGCCCGCCTCGGCCTCCCAAAGTGCGGGGATGACAGATGTGAGCCATTGCGCCCAGCCTGTCTGCTACGTTTAAGGGTCTTCAGTGAGGCTGCTGGTTCCAGGCTGTTTCCTCTAGCTGCTTACACCCTGCTCGTGTGCATGGGAAAAGCTCCTGCTGTTTTTCAGGTGGCATCCTCATGTACGGGGCCCTGGTGCTCTTCGAGTCTGAGTTCGTCCATGTGGTGGCCATCTCCTTCACCGCACTGATCCTGACCGAGCTGCTGATGGTGGCACTGACCGTCCGCACATGGCACTGGCTGATGGTGGTGGCCGAGTTTCTCAGCCTGGGCTGCTACGTGTCCTCACTCGCTTTTCTCAATGAATATTTTGGTAAGTTGCCTTGGAATTGTTTTCTGAATCGTTGTCTATTCATGATTTTGAAGCATTTTCTTATTGTTACTTCTGAATACATTGTCTTAAGTTGTGGATCATGGTAAAACCCATATCAGAAAGTGCCTGCTCTTACCATCCCTGCACCACGGATGAAGGTGCGGTGCCCTGTGTTGGTCACTGGCTGGCTGGTCCCCTGACAGGAGGCGCTGAGCCCTGTCCGTTACTGGCTGGCTGGTCCCCTGACAGGAGGCGCTGAGCCCTGTTGGTCACTGGCTGGTCCCCTGACATGAGCAGCACAGCCACTCGGGAGCAGCTGGGACTCAGATCTGTGGGAAGCGAACACGGAGCCGGACTCGGGCCTGCGGGAAGCGAACACGGAGCCGGACTCGGGCCTGCGGGAAGCGAACACGGAGCCGGACTCGGACCTGCGGGAAGCGAACACAGAGCCGCCTGTGCGCCTGTCCCCATCTCAGTGCCTGAGTGTTCGTGCAGTGGTGAACCTCTATGGAGGAAAATGTGAAATATTCCTGTTCTTACATAAAAGAACTCTCAGAAAATACCCGTGGCTTCTAAGAAATGGTTATTTTCTAATTATAATGTCCTCGTTATTTTTCTTTTGAAAATCGGCTTTTAGAATATTTTCCTGTATGATCATGAATTAACATACTCAGGGACACATGAACACGCTAAGTGCCACAGTGAGCTCACAAAATGACAAAGACACGCGTCACAGGCGTGGGCAGGACTCACCACCGCTTTGAGCCTCAGCTTTTGCATCTGCAAACTGGAGATGGTATCACTTCCCGTTGGGAACGGGTGTGAAGATCAGTAGTAACGTGCTTACGTACTTGTGAACGAATGTGCGGAGCTCCTTTCGCACCTGCAGAACATGGCCAGCCCTCCAGCACGTGCACCTTCTGTAGTGAGCTCCTCAGACCTGGGTAGGTCTCTGTCTCCTCGGGAATGCCAAGGTGTGTGCTTCTCAGACACAGGAAACTTAACTGTTGGGTTTCGGTGATGTTTAAACAGTTGTATGGTAACAGGCAGGGAGATGAGAGGTTAAAACCACATTGAAAACGCATCTTGCACCTGCCATTTTATTGCTTTTAATGTGTTTCTTATTCGTTTGCTAACCCCTTGAAATACCCAGTATCTCCTTTAATCTGTCCTTTATTTTCTTTATTCCTGTTTTGGAACAGGTATAGGCAGAGTGTCTTTTGGAGCTTTCTTAGGTAGGTAAAGTTATCATTTCTTTCAAAAGTGTAGAAATTTAGCCAAACAATATTGATAAAGATACTTAACTAATCCGAAAAATAAACCGTCCTCTAATTCAGTGTTCCTCACAAACTCTCTGATGTCACGTAAGCTGGTGGCCATGTGCTTACTTGGCTCGTCGTGGGCTGAGTGCTGCTGGCTTGCCTGTTGGGGACTTGGTGGCTCTGAGTGAAGGGAAGGGGCCAGGCACCCTGCCATCTGCTAAGGATTGCACGAGTCCCTAAAACATGTTTGCCTTTTCAGTTGTAGGGGCTGAGCTCCTGGAAAACACTTCCAGGGTCTTCAGAAAATGAGTACACACAAACGTAGGACTTCCCCTTCATACAGAGATCTGGCGCTTCCCTCTGTCATTTATTTTACAAAGGCCTCTAACTCTGCTCCATAGATCTTTTTATCCCATCCGGCAACAGTCTAAAGGGATTTCCACTATATGTAGATTCGAAGTATGTAAATATCCAGTTTCTCACCTCCTCTTCTTGTGAGGAATGTAAGTGGCCTAGTCATTAGCAGCACAGCTCGGCCATGGTGAGTACATGGTTCTTCTGTGGAGATGCTGGGAGGGTGATAGGCGAGAACATTCTCTGGGTGGGCCGGGCTCAGAGCCTCTAAGAGCAGACCGGTCTGAGCATTTGTGTGGCAGATGGAACTGCCGGCTGTCCTCTGATGCCCCCAGCCCCTCATAAAGTCAACTCTACCTTAAAAAAACAAAAACCAAAACCAAAACGGCTAGATCGTCCAAACCACTCCCACAGGTTAGGTGAGTTGGTGTCTGTTCCAGTGCTTCGGTGCCTTTACAAATTCTGCCACAGAGCATTGTCTACCCATTTAGTGGTATTTGGTGACATTAGTCATCTGCAACCCTTTTTTTTTTTTTTTTTGAGACGAAGTCTCACTCTTGTTACCCAGGCTGGAGTGCAGTGGTGCGATCTCGGCTCCCTGCAACCTCCACCTCCTGAGTTCAAGTGATTCTCCTGCCTCAGCCTCCTGAGTAGCTGGGATTACAGGCGCCCACCACCACACCAGGATAATTTTTGTATATTTAGTAGAGACAAGGTTTCCCCATGTTGGCCAGGCTGGTCTCAAACTCCTGACCTCAGGTGATCCACCCGCCTCAGCGTACCAAAGTTCTAGGATTACAGGCGTGAGCCACCGTAGCTGGCCTGCAGACTTTTTTTTTTGAGATGTAGTCTCACTCTGTCCCCAGGCTGGAGTACAGTGGTGTGATCTCAGCTCACTGCAACCTCCGCCTCCTGGGTTCAAGCAATTCTCCTGCCTCCACCTCCCCGGTGGCTGGGATTACAGGTGCCCACCACCACGCCCGGCTAATGTTTTGTTGTCTTTTTTGTAGAGATGAGGTTTTCCCGTGTTGGCCAGGCTGGTCTCGAACTCCTGACCTCAAGTGATCCGTCTGCCTTGGCCTCCCAAAAGTGCTGCGATTACAGCCACTGCGCCTGGCCTACAATCTCTTTATAATGCTTTGGTTTGTTTTTTCCATTAAAAGAAGAATGAATTATGCCCGGTATGCAGGTTAAACAATTCTGCAGTCAGGAAAACCTGAGATTTGGAGCTGGGCTCCTGTAAACGTACGGTGATAGTTCCGTGGCAAGCTGAGACCGCCCGGTGGCCTGGCCGGGTCTGTGGCTGTGGCCATGAGGGCCCAGGGCTTCCTGTCGGCTCTTACCTTTTTTTCTGTTTCCTGCCAACAGATGTTGCCTTTATCACCACCGTGGCCTTCCTGTGGAAAGTGTCGGCAATCACCGTGGTCAGCTGCCTCCCGCTGTATGTCCTCAAGTACCTGAGGCGCAAGCTGTCTCCGCCAAGCTACTGCAAGCTGGCCTCCTAAGGGGTTGTGCACCCCCAGCGGGCTGGTCCCAGCACCTTCTGCCCTTTCCAGTGAACACCGGGTTTGCCATTGCTACCAAGCGAGCACCACGAGAAAGGGAGGGTATGCCAGGCGAGCCCAGGGCACCGATGCCGGGACAGCCTGTCCCTCTCAGTGCAGGGACGTCAGCCCTGCCAGGCGAGCCCAGGGCACAGATGCCAGGATGGCCTCTCCCTCTCAGTGCGAGGCTTCACCCCTGCTAGGCGAGCCCAGGGCACAGATGCCAGGACGGCCTCTCCCTCTCAGTGCGAGGCTTCACCCCTGCTTTTCTTTCTTCTTTTGTGTTTGTCAAAATCCTATTTCCATATTGAAGCAGCTTGAGTTTCTACTGAAAATGAGCCCGAATTATTTTACTGTTACTGTAAAGGGTTTATCTTACTCTGGCATTCTAAGAATTAGAATGAAAGTTTAATTTCTGCAATTCCCTAACATTCACATTCTTTCTTTGATGTTATAATACACAGTCATTCCTACTCAAATGTAATAAAATTGAGGCTCCACGGAGGCCCGTGTCCACACCAGCTGCAGCTCCTGCTCAGACAGACGGCCTGTCCTTTGCTGAAGACACCTCGCTTTATACTCGCATTTCGCTTTTCAGTAAAAACACTCGAGTCACTGAGTTCTCACATAAAGAGCTGTTCTCCTCACACGTTCTGAAGGCAAGTCGTACAAACAGTGGTGTTTCCGAACACAATTCCATTGCAGCCACCAGCGTAAATCATTGCCCGGAGACTTTGCTGCTAGCACGCGTGTCCTTCCCATCCTTTTTATATTTGCAAAATCACACTCGAACGCCATTTCTGTAGGTAGAAATCAGCTGTCCTGTAAAACTCACATCCCCTAAGATAGCTCACTTGCCTGGTCATGGGAGTTTACTTGGTTGGAAACACGCACCACTGGAGATGATGGAAGCCTGTGCGGCTGCCACGCTGCATTCATGGTGTCGCCCAGCCAGACCTTGCTTCTGTGACGCTGGGAAGGTTCTTGGGGCCAGGAGTTCATTTCTTCAGCTGTGTCCTGTGCCTGGGGTGTTCCTCAAAACCGGTGTGTTGTGCCGCCTGCAGCAATGCCCCTTCTTGGAGGCCTCAGCAGAAGTCGGTCAAACACCAGGCCTCTTGGTTCAAAGGAGAGTTTCTCTGTATTTTCCACGCAGGCACCGCAGCCTCTGCCAGGAGTTTCACCTGTTCACTTTCCGCGTCGTTTCCCATCAAGGTGGGCCCTGTCACCTGAAATCCTGGCCGCGCTGTGTGCGTGGGGCTCCAAGGGCATTTCACCAACCAGCGGAGGGGCTGCCCAGCACCCACCTACCGTCCCCCGCAGCTTTGCGGAGGAGAAAATAGCCGCAGAGAGCAATGAAGTTGCCAGTCTTCCCCATACGCAACAGGCCTTTTGAATGGAATTCCTGGGTCATCTGTCCTGAGCGTTCTGAATTTCCAGACGGGCCTGGCCCTGTGAGGGTGCGATTTCCTGCGTCCCCACAAGGTGTCGCTGGAGTCCGCTCGGTGATCTGGGCGCGTCTGGTCGCTGCCGGAGGCTGCCTGGGATTTTCCCTTCTGTGCACCAAGTCGGTGTCGCCCGGAAGTCACATCCTGGGGGGCTGACTTGGATTTTACGTGTCTTTATCGCTTCTGCCGGAGCAGTTTGCGTTGGGGGCGTTGGGACGGTAGAAATCTTAAGTCCCCAGCCAGCAGCCCAGGAGATGGGGTCACACGCTCGGGCCTCGGGGGTGGAGGCCAAGTGCAAATGAGAGGCTGCTCCCCCGTGCACCTGTACAAATAAACCACCCACCTGTGACACTAATAGACTGATAACATTGTCGATAACCTCAGAGAAGCTGCACCCCTGAGCCTTTGGGAATAACACTGCAGTCCAGCTTTCAGATCAACGACTGGCCGTAGATCAGTTGGATCCTGATGAGGAGACGGTTGAAGACTCGTCTCAAGAAATGGAGATGTGTCAGGGGCAGGTGGAGACGGGAGGAGGGAGGGGTCTTTTCCCCCGTAAACGAAATCACCCCCACGGGGGCTGCTGCTTGTGAGGGTTAAACGAGACGGACAGGGCGTTCCCGGCAGACGACGGGCAGCAAGGCAGTCGGAACGGGTCTGTGACACGGATTCTCTGCTGGATTAAAGAAAATAACAGCCCACTAAAGGGTCATTAGATGGGCATTAGATCCAGTTCCAGCTCCAGTTCAGGAACCAGCTCTGAGGTCAGGCGAGAGGCTGTATTTCCACTGGCTGCCGGCTTGCGGTGTAACCTCTTTGCTTTTTAGGTTCTGGACCTGTGTCAGCCCTAGAAATTCTGAGCCGGCCGTACAGCCCCAGAGCCCTTCAGGAGGGTGCCCATCCTGGGGAGAGCATTCTGCGTGTCTGGAGTCAGCGGTGCTGCAGGAGGAGGAGCCCGTTCCTCCTTCCTGCGTGTGATGGGCAGCGTCCCCGAGCATCCAGTGCTGTGCTGGCCCCACGTTTCTAGGTTTACGTGTAGAGGCGTGACCCTCACGGTCCTGTCCGCCGCCCGGAATAGCTGGTCCCAGGGAGGTAAGTGCTGCGGAAGAACCAGCAGGGCCGGCAGCCTTGGGAGACTCCTTGGAAAGGGGAGGTTGGAGCCGAGGGTGGGAAGATACAAGCAAAGCCTGTCATCAGAGCAGCTCGTGCTCAGACCCGAGACTGCGGCCTGGTGTCCTGGGGTGACAAGAGCAGAGTGCCAGCGCCCAGCACGGGCGGCAGGTGGGCAAGGATTCGCCACTGTTTTCCATAGTCTCATCCGATTCCAGGTCAGTGACGGCCATGCCTTGAGGGCCGCACTGCATTCCCGGAGCCCGTAAGTCCGTACCCCCGACAGCCACCAGTGCCTTCCTCTCCTGTGCAGGCCCAGCAGAGAAACCTGTAGCAAGACCCCGACATGGACCAAACAAGCTGGCCTTGCCTCCCTTCTGTGACCGTCACGGGCAGGCCCAGGTGCACCCTTCCTAGGGTCAGGGACTCCGCTGGGGTCACCACCTCCAAGGCCCCCCTGGCACAACTGAGCAAGCCACTCGGTCCCACTCAGGAGCAGCCCCCCCCAGTCCCCAGCACGTAAGTCCTGGGCCGTGGAGGGGACACCAGGCACCCCCCTCACCCCGGGCTGCAGGTCCTGCTACTGCAGACGGCTGTCATTTCAGGCGGTTCCAGAAGGGGGAGCCAGAAGCCACGAAATGGCACCTGCAAGGCCACCTGGGCCGACATCCTGGCTCCAGCTCGCATTTTGGGGGTTAGAGAAGCTGATAGCTTGGGGATTCCTCTGAATATGGTGTCCTGTTGAGCACCAACAAGCAACCCCTGAAACGGGGTCCCCAGGAAAGCCAGTTTGCTCTCGCTGAAGAGGTTCCTCCCGTCCCGCGGGCGCTTGTACACAGGAGGTGTTACTTGTGTCTGGACGGGGAGAGTGTACCCCGTGGAGGGCTGCAGGGCAGCCTCAGCTCCCATCACCCGTCCCAGGTGCTGGTCGGCCCCTCGGGTGGGCCTGGGGACCATGGCCGAGCAGAAGCCCGGGAGGAAGGGGGTCCTCGTGCCAGTTCTGCCGAGTCCTCAATGCTCAGGCTAACAACAGGATTTTCCAAAATGGATTGTCCTGCGCCTGTGGGCCTGGAAGAGAATCCAGAAATTCTCCAGCCCCACCTCTGCCTGGGTCCTGAGAGTTCTGGGCCCAGAAGGCTGCAGGCACTGAGCTCATCTGCGCTGGGGGTGGACATCGCCCGGGTTGTCACCCGAGATGCAAACAGAAGCGCTGGGTTCCAGATCTAGAAAGACGAGGCCAGCATAGACCATGTCCTGGAAGAGACACGTGGCCTTTGGAATCTCCACCCCTCATTAAGGAAGAGAGGGAGGCCCTGAGATCAGGAGTCACTGCAAGTCAGAAATCTGGATTTTTAGGTGAAGTGTCCGTTTTAAAATTGGGCTACCAGCACTTGTTGCTGTCGTTGGGTTGCCTGGGAGACTCTGCAGGGCAGCCGAGGGGGCACCGTCTGCCGTGGCTGGTTCCCCCGTCACCACAAGGTCAGCCTCAGACCTTCTCCCTGTCCCGAGAGGCCCTCTCACAGCTTGCCTCAGTTTCTCCCTGGGGTCAAGCACAGCTGTGTTTGCAGGTGGGGAGCCAGCAAGGCTCTTGCCCTGGAGGAATGGGATGTCGTGATTCTCACTGATTCCCTCGAGGAGACCTTTCCTCGGAGGCTGCCCCGTGTGGAGCAACCCCTGGCCCTGTAGACCCTGTGTTCCTTCCTCAGGGCATCCTGCTGGGGTGAGGCCTGGCTGGATGAGGACTCCTGACCTCCCCCATGGGCCCCGGGGAAAGACAAGCGAAACAAGGGCCATCCCGAGTGTGCCTCGCTTCTCCCACCTGCAGCTGCCCCGGGCCAGGCTATGCAGAAGAGCTGGGGCCACGAGAAGGAGCTGCACCACCAGCTTCCATCGCAGGTGCCCGCCGCCCTCAGGGACACTTTTAATTGTCTGCATTTCAGTTTGTCTCTAACGGGTCCAGTTGTAGTCCCTCAGAAGTTGTAAACCTAACATTCACTGCCTGTAGGTGCTGGGGAGAAAATACTGCCCATTCTCCTAGCTGAAGGTTTGTTCCTGTGCCCACACCATGCGTCCAGCACAATCACAGGAAGCACCCCGCCAGGAGAAGGAGAATCCGCGAGAGCTCCCACGTTACCCTCACAGTAGCTCGTGCATCCACGTACAATCTCCGGTCTCTGAGACTGCCCTCTTCACTTCCATTGGCCATGGGGAGCCCCGTGCAGACAGTGGGGTTAACCGGGGTCCCGGGCCACATGTTGATGCTGACTCCCAGGCACAGATGCTCGTGCGGACCCTGCAGGGCTGGTGGTCAGGGGCTGTGGGTGCCCAGTCCAGGATGCGCCAGGCTTCCAGGCCACTTCACCCTGCTCCTCTCCTGCTGACCCGCCGGGATGCACCAGGCTCCCGGGCCAGCCTGCCCTGCTCCTGTCCACCCTGCTCCTGTCCCACTGCCGTGTGTCCTCTTGACCTGAGCCTCGGCTTGTCCAGCTGGGGCCGTCCAGGTGGGAGTAACTGTCTAGATGAGAAAATGAGAGAGAGAACCAGATCCACAGGACAGGAGCAGGGGGCCAGTATGGGGACATCACGGCCACAGTCGCCTTACCAGGGGCACTGGCTATCTCTGGCTCTGCCTGTTTCTAGGAACTACCTGGACTGATGCCATCCACGGTCCCCTGTGAAAATTCTTGCTGCATCCTCTGGGCTCTGTGCCTTCACCTGGGGACAGGGCCCTCCCCTTGGCCTCCTTGAGTCCCCCCTAATTTGTGACAAAATGAGAAGAAACAAAAGGCAGTAAGAGGAGAGCGGGGTGGGCCGGGACAGAATCGGGCCCTGGGCTGCACCGTCATCACTCGTCTCTCAGCTCTCAGTGACCTGACGACCAGGAGCCCAGACCCAGTGTGGGGACTGTGTGGGGGGCCCAGCCAGGGGCGGGGGCTGTGGGGGCAACTGTGCCAGGGAACCAGCAGAGACGTGGCTGACGGTACAGCTCGGCTGAGAGCTGTGGAGCTGTGCACTTAGGGAAACCCAGGCATCCCTGACGCGACTCACGGGGCTGGGT